TGAGATATAAAAAAGAATTGTATAACAAGTATTTCTATACCATAAATATGAGATATAAAAAAGAATTGTATAACAAGTATTTCTATACCATAAATGTGAGATATAAAAAAGAAAGCTGCGCTTCCATCTCTAGTTTCTGAGAAATAAATGTTCCTTCTGGCTGAAATACTATGAAGTTAACGTCGTTTAAATCTATTTTCCCTGCAATTCAGCACAGGATGACTTTCATTCCTATACGAGGGAGGGACACCCCAGCCGCCAAGAGCCTCCCAGATTTTCCATAATACGGTACCGAGCCGCTCCACAACACAGCATACTTATATAGGAAGATATTTAAAAAATACATCTTGAGTTATTTTTTGTTTTAATTAAAGAATTAGAGGTTATATGTTGAAAATTCTATAAAGCAACATTTTTGCGACAATAATTATCTACTGCTTAAATCACAGTTTACAACAAAACAAACCAAAATTAATTCATAGTTTTATAAATAGCGTTTTTTTCTGCGTACAGAATGTGTACAGAACGGAGGCTCGAAACTGTATGGCAAATATGTGTGGCTTATGGTGGCCGAGGTTTTCCTTCCTCCATAAACACAACTTGGCAGATTTTAGAACAAGATACCAAATACCATTATTTACCAAACTTGAAAACATAAACTGGAGGAATTCAGAATACAGTGGTTCTCGAAATAAATTATAAATCCTTTTTTTCTTTATGAACCTTTTTTCTTTTCTTAAATTACAATCTCTTAATCAATACATATTACAAAATTATATTTTTATCGTTAACATTTCTGTCATTGCATTTTCGATTTTATTTGTTCTGTTTCTCTCTTCCACAATCGTTATTTCGCAATTTCATTTTCTACTTTATCTCTATTTCGTTTGTACTATCTCAATATATACCATAAATGAACACTCTCGATTTTCTTTTGAACTGTCTTTGAATCTATCTAATCCCTATACCTTTGAAACCTGGTGATATAACAGTTTGTGGCAAAAACTAAATTCATTTGTTGACGTTAGTTTGTCTGACTTTTCTTACAGGCTGAACAGGCCATACATGGGGCAGGAAACCGGTTCCAGATGGTCATTCAAAGGTAGAAAACATCAAACAACAACAAAAAACAACATAAAAACAAAATTCTATTTGTTGTAAAAAAAAAAAAAAAATCCTAATTTTTATACACATATGTTACTTTTGAATAGTATTTGCATGCACTTTTAGATAGATTTTATCAGTTTTTGGTTAGGTTGCAAAATTTGAAGTTATGACAACAGGACAGACATAACTGTAAAAATATTCACGGTATTTTGCAAAGAAAAGAATGAGAAAATATTGGGAGTAGAGAGAGAGAGAGAGGGAATCTTTATCTTGTCCATAAAATTCATATTCACGATTACATGAGATGTCTTGGTCATTTGTACGTTCACACAGGCTTCAAGTTTGCCAAAGAATTTCCAGGTCATAAACTCCTTTACTGGTCTACATAAACCTTAGTATCATACACACCACATACAAATGCCAAGGAAACAACCAGGGAAACGGGGAAAAGGGAAAAGAAAGAGAAAGAGAAAAAACGATGGGGAAATAGTGAAAAGAAAGGGAAAAAGGGGAAAGAAAGACAAAGAGGGGAAGAAAAAGAAAAGAGGGGAAAGAAGGAGATAAAAAGGGGGGGGAATCAAACACTAAAGAGATAAACATGGGAAAAAGAGGGGAAGCCAGGGAAAAGAGGAAATTAAAGGGAAAAAGGGGAAAGAAAGGGAAAGAGGAGACGTAAAGGGGGGGAATAAAACATTAAAGAGATAAACGAGGAAAAAGAGGAAAAGAAAGGGAAAGAAGGAAAAGAAAGGGAAAGAAGGAAAAGAAAAGGAAAGAAGGAAAAGAAAGGGAAAGAGGGAAAGACAGGGAAAAGAGGGAAATGGAAGAAGAAAAGGGGGAACGGAATGAAAACAGGGGAAACGCAAGTGAGAAAAAAGGATGAATAGGGAAAAGTGATAAAGAAGGAAAACAATATGGGAAGAGGAAAAATTAAAAAATAATAGAATGGAAAAACGTAAAAAAAATTTCCAATTATGCAATTAAAATTTAGGGCTTGTCTAGGCATGTTAGTTTTAAAAATACAACCTGTCTGATATTTTGCATACTATCAGACAAACCCCTCTCAAAACAGGGTCTAAAATGGAAACATAAAGAAATAAACAAATAAACTAAACAAAAAATTTGAAAATAAAACAAGCACACATCCTCCAAAACTTTGATTTTTAAAACAAAACAAGTTTTATGTTAAAAATTGGAAAATTAATAAATTTGAAAAAATCCAGAGATAACAGTGACCAGTTAGGAAGAAAGATTTCCTTCGAGAAATCGGCCATGACGGTGAGCCTTCGTCTGGGGGGCGGTGGGGCTCCGTCAGTCGCGAAGGTGGACGAAGCGTTCATTTCCAACGTTCCCGTTTCGGAGGACACACCTTCCCTGTTGGAGGACAGGTACTGGAGGCGTGCTGGAGGAGTAAAACCTAAATAAGACAGTATATTCAATCAACTTGAACTGAAGTAGGAAGGACATAATACTTTACAGGACTGTTTCATAATTTCAAGTTACCCTCCATTTAAAGAGCGTCCTGCTAGATTCACAAACGTAGCTCTAAATTATCATTTTTCACAGTTAAAAACATGGATATCTTATTCTTTATTAGAGAACACTTATAACGGAGCGGTTGTGAAACGGACTTATAACTTTCGAAAATGATGGTTTCTTGAAATTACATATACGGATTGGATTAATTTTCTGCTTCGAAAGGCATTTATGTAGATCTATTTTTATATCAGATTCAGGGGTATTACGTAAAGTTAAGATATGTTCTGCATTTATAAGGGCCAAATTAGATTTAAAAAATACTATTTATCATCTAAGAAATTGCCTTGTACAACCTTCTTAATATCAAGTTGTTTTTCCGTAAAACTCTCCAGATAGGAATTGGTCTTTTGGATAAGAATATACTGTCTAAAACTAAATTAAAACCTAAAATGGAAATTATAAACGTTTTCTTTTTTATCCTGTTCATCCTTTGTGCAGTGTACACCCTGTTCTTTTCTTTCTTATCTCTACACCTTAACATTTTTCTGTTGTTTTTGAAATCAGGTTATTTTTTTGCTGGAAACAAAGTTGCAAAAAAACGTAATTAGGTTAGAAATATTGGTAAAGTACTTTTCAGTGAATCTATAAAATATATTTTAAGAATTGATAGACCTTTGATTTGACCTCTACAATTAACTTGTTTTATAGCTTTGGAGATAAACATTTTCAAACTGCAACATGCCAACCTGTTTGTAAGGTGTAAGTGGCAAAATTTGTACGAAAGAAAGCGTAACTGCTTTCCAATGGGAATCATCATAACTCTCTTTTATAAACTCAAGCAGTAAATTCCAATGCTACATGGGTAACCAGCAACAGATGAGGTTTAGGTTGGTATAGGTTTAAGTTGGTATAGGTTTAGGTTGTTACAGGTTTAGGTTGGTATAGGTTTAGGTTGGTATAGGTTTAGGTTGGTATAGGTTTAGGTTGGTATAGGTTTAGGTTGGTATAGGTTTAGGTTGGTATAATAAAGATACATCCTTTCTGTGGTGAGTCTGTATACAAGAAAGTAATAACCAGAAAATTCTTTAAATATGAATACCACTTTTTAGTAATAATTTGGTGTATTTGATGTGGTTACGAAGCAAATAGTTTTACTAGACACTTACTAAAACTCTAATTAACCCTTTAAAGGCTGGGAGGGTCTGAATCTATGTATAGCATGGGGGGGTCGTTAGGCGCCCCCCCCTAGAAAAAGGCCTTAGAGAATATTTATAAGGTTGAAATGCATGTTCATAGCCCAATTTTTCAAGGCCAGTCCAAAGAAAAAAAAATTTCCACCATGTACCCTACCCTATTAATGTTAAAAAATATTGTTTTAACAAAAAATCCTTTAAATTCCTATTCATAAAAAGTCACAAAATTTAAATTTCACGGTGATAGTGTCAATGCTAGGACAAAAAAACTACGGGGGGGGGGGGCGCCCCCCCAGCCTGTTTATGGTTAAGTGAAATAGTTCTATTTACACTGCACAATTGCTGTGTCCCTTGCTCATTGAAATATTTAAAGTCATAACTGAGTCTAAAAGTAGTTTTCCTTAAATTTCTGGTCATCACTGTATATAGAAATGTAAAATGTATTTATTTCTGTATTGCTGGTGCAGAAAAAGCATTGTAGTGTTTAGTGTAAACAATAATAGAACTGTTGTGTAATGAATGTAGGAGAAAACTAATTATCTGTCTAAGCTACTAAAGGAGCCTGGAGAAGAGTTAGGTCCAGATATATTTTCCATTACCTGGTTATAGGGATGGACAAACATAAGGTATTTCATTTACCAAATCTTCACAATTTTTGAATACAATGTATGTTGAAAGACACAACCTTTTTCATGAGATGGTTCTGAGTTAAATTATCAAATAAGAATTTTGAAAATTAATAAGTTTGTTGCAAGAACTCAGTTTTTTTAGCTAACGGTCTGATTAAAAATGACTTAGACGCCCAGGCCTAGTTGGTTGTTTAATGCATATGTACTGCAGAAGGTTTTAGAATAAACAAAATATAAATAAACAAAAACATTTTCTTAGGATTTTCCATGGAATAGGACTTCTACCACTAATTAAAGAATTTTAGATTTGAAATTGAATTTAATTTTCTTCAATAATTACTGAATATTATCATAATTATTTAATTAGATTTAACAACTGCGGCGGGTCAAGAAAATACGGTTGATATTGTGTCAAGCTATGCCAAGAACACCCCTGTTTAAGTTTCATAGTTTAAAAAATCTAGAAAAAAAGTAATCTATTTTTTCCCTGTTTTTAAGGCGCTTCGCACCCATCATCAATTTCAGTTGTGAACATGTTCTTGTTGCATACAGACAAAAAGTTTCGCCAAAAAAATTTCGTTGATTTTTTTGATCATCCATTAACCTTTCATGGGGTCATGGGAGGTGCCACAAAATTTTTTGGGCCGATCGGTTCAGAGCCCTTTTGATGTTCATTGAATACAAGCAGACCGACAAAAAAGCAAAATATACAGATAGAAGATTTTCAAAAATTTTATTAGCCCACACTTAGTAATTAATATAGCAACCTTTTAGTTAATTAGCACTAGAAAATTATTTGGGTTTGTTTATTTTCCAAAATAGATTAAATTCAAAACAATTAGAAAAGTAGGTTTGTTTAGAAATGTATTCCGTTGGGAGGCAAGTTTAACAAATCCACTCTAAAAAATTTTACAAGAAGTATTCAGTATTCAAGATTAAATTCATTCATTTCATTATTTATTTTTAAACTTTTATCTTTTTCAGAAAACTTGATCAGCCCCCCATTTTATGATTTTGCAGATTTTTTGGCTGATATTGGTGGATTTACAAAAGTATTAAGTTACTATTTATATATTTCAACTGAGCTGAAAACTTTAGAATGTGATATCTTTAATCCCGCTCTGTTAATTAATCTGGAGATTAAATTCATGAGGAGAGCAAGCAATATTTAATCAGGAGATTAAGAAAAGAGTGGATCAAGCATTAATCCTGATATACACAATTCATAGTCCCAGCTCAGGTGTCATATATACGTGGGTAGCCTACACTCTATGTGTTTTAATCATTTCAACACAATGTTAGACATCAAAAACCAATTTTAAAACTTTTAAAATAATCAAACAATCATTATTTTTTAGTTTTTAATGTCCAAAATTCTGTAGAAATGATGTAGGCTCTCCATGCAGTACATTTACTCAACATTTATTTGATAAATAATCATTATTTGGCGGAATAGAGATGAGGAGCTTCACAACATTATGGATTTAAACAAAGTATTCCCCAAACCGAAAGAGGTTGAAGAACGGTTGAAGAAGAACAGGAACAATCAAATGATTAAATTGATTTATAAATGATATTGAATCTTTGCCACAAACTCGGATTTTCTACGCGCTATATCTCTGAAACATGATGGTGTAAACCTTTAATATTTCAACTTTGATTATTTAATCTGACACTTGCATAGGGTTGCAACTGCAAAATAAAGACCATCAGAGTTCGCATGGCGAGACTCAATTACTTTATAATATAAAAAAGAATGATAGAAAATTATATTCTGAACCAGTGAATTTGTGGTGCCACTCCTAAAAGCCCAAAAAAAATTAAGTCCTCAAACCCCTTCTTCCCCAAACTCTTACATTTTTGAAATATACAGCTTTTAATCTTTTTAAAACATTATATCCTCTCCCCCTTCCATCCCATACGTTTTATCCTTCAGCTCTCCTGGAATATATAATTTCTTCGAATTTACTGCACCAGTAGAACAGTTTATACATTTTCCTAATTTCAATTAAAAACATGTATAAACATGATTTGAATTTGTAACAGTGCAACAGTAAAGTTCTCTCTGAGATGAAATAAAAATAATTTAGGCGAATTCCGGTCTGAGGAATCTTGATATCATGTATTACATTACTTGTTATTATATATGGATTCCGGGTTGAGGAATCTTGATATCATTACTTGTTATTATATATGGATTCCGGGTTGAGGAATCTTGATATCCTGTATTACATTACTTGGTATTATATATGGATTCCGGGTTGAGGATTCTTGATATCATGTATTACATTACTTGGTATTATATATGGATTCCGGGTTGAGGAATCTTGATATCATGTATTACATTACTTGGTATTATATATGGATTCCGGGTTGTGGAATCTTGATATCATGTATTACATTACATGTTATTATATATGGATTCCAGGTTCAGGAATCTTGATATCCTGTATTACATTACCTGGTATTATATATGGATTCCGGGTTGAGGAATCTTGATATCCTGTATTACATTACTTGGTATTATATATGGATTCCGGGCGGAGGAATCTTGATATCCTGTATTACATAACTTGGTATTATATATGGATTCCGGGTTGAGGAATCTTAATATCATGTATTACATTACTTGGTATTATATATGGATTCCGGGTTGAGGAATCTTTTTAAATGTACTGCAGCTTGGGCATTATTTATATACTTCCTAAGAACTTCAGCACACTAGTGTAAGAACAGTTTTTTGGGCTTAAAGTTTAAACCATTTCCAGTTTTGGTTTTATAGTTAATTTATTTCTAATTCTTCTTGAGTAATATTTTTTTAGAAAAATAAATTGTACATTGGCGTGATATGGTTCACAGAGAAATTCAATGTTCAGCCAGAATAATAAGGATATCTTCGTCTTTTTTTCAGAAAAAGTTTAAAGGGTAGCGCTGCAACTCTCCACATAAATTTACTTTTGATAGAAAAACTTTACCCCAAATCTTCTGTTAAAAAAAAATTAATCTGATTGTATACTGTACAGAGAAGAGGAAGAACGAAGGAGGGAGGAGGAAGAAGTTGCAAGGTTTGTAACATTTTTACATAATTCTGTATTCTATGTGTGTCTCTTATCAAGTTTTCCTGCCTAACTTTGTTTAAAGCAAGTAGAAACTTTGCTCATGAGATCACAGAAAAGAATGTTTTAAAAAAGAATGATATGATGTATCATTAACTAATCCAAAAATGTAAATTCTCTTGTATTCAGCTGTTTTGAATGTTTTGATGTCTTTCCTACCTGCTAATATGTGGGACACCTTTTATATAATGTAATTTTATTTGGACAGTTGTAATAGAAATTCAAATATAAACCCTTAATTAGGGCTTGGCAGTATTCAGTTAACGAAACAGAAGTTTATGAAAAATAACGGAAGAGCCCGCTATTGAACTGCAAAAACTGTTGATTTTCATTTTGTAACACAGGGAAATTCAAAATTACCATTGTCCGAATTTAATGAATTTAAGCCGCGTCTCTAATCCCCCAAAAACCGGTTTTAATTGAGCGCCGGCTTAAATTTTGAAAAATTTAATATAATTTTAAGTTTTAAGTAAATGACTTTTTTTATTTTTTAACTTAAAATTGCATGAAACTTAAAAAATTAAAAAATGCACTTGCTCTGTTAAGATGTTTTTTAACATATTTTAATGTTATTGAATATTGTCATAATATTTTTTCTCCATTGCTAACAAACGACTTATAAAAATTCTGAACATGCTAAGCTCTATCCTTCATGCATAGCCTATGCAAGATACATTAATGCATAGTGCATATTACTCTTTAGTTCTAAAGTTTTAGGAAATAATCATAATTAGTCAGAGCTAAAGTGAAGGCTAGAGATGGGCATCATTTGTTTGAACGAAAAAAATTGTTCGTGAAAGATGTTGTTGTTCAGAAAAAAACGAACAACTTGAATCATTTAAACGAACTTTTAAAAAATTTAGTTTTTTTACAAAGGGATAGAATTTTCCAAAAGATTTTGAAAAACTATTGCTTATTTGTAATAAACGAACGGCTTTTTTCTAATAAACTTTTTTTAAATTATCGTTTTTTTACTGAACAAATAGTTTTTGAACATATTTTTTTTTAAAAAAAACTATTATTTTTTACTGAAAAAACGAGTTTACTGAATGATCGTTCAGTAAGAAAACAAACGTTAATTTGTTTCAGAACGATTAAAAAGAATGGAACAGATCGTTTATGAACAATGAACCAACAAAATAAAAAAGCTGAGTGTGCCCATCTCTAGTGAAGGCATATTAGAGTCTGTAAATGACTCAAATCGTGTAATTTATTAAATCATCTTAGTTAAGCCCCAACTTTTTAAAGAGATCTATTTTCATTTGTCATTCCCCATAATGTTTTTTCTGAGTATAACACTGTTTTACAGGGACCTAAGGTACATATCAAGCCGCATTCGGGCAAAATAGTACCTTGGTCTGACTGAAATCTTTGTTAAAAATTTCAATTTTCATTTTCCATTCTCATGAGTAGGTTTTGATGGTTATGGTTGCAGGAAATGGGATAAGTTCCTGTCTAGATTATTATCTCCGGTTTAGGGTTCCTACTGGAACCACTTCCTTTTTATTCTTCCTTCCTCTCTCTAATAAGTTGAAAGTAGTGGATTGCATTACATTTATAATTTACATAGACTACAGTGGTAATAGTAGTTCTTTCTGTTTTATAATTTACATAGACTACAGTGGTAATAGTGGTTCTATCTGTTTTATAATTTACATAGACTACAGTGGTAATAGTGGTTCTTTCTGTTTTATAATTTACATAGACTACAGTGGTAATAGTGGTTCTATCTGTTTTATAATTTACATAGACTACTGTGGTAATAGTGGAGATATCTGTTTTATAATTTACATAGACTACAGTGGTAATAGTGGAGATATCTGTTTTATAATTTACATAGACTACAGTGGTAATAGATGTCCTATCTGTTCTGCTAATAAATTTAACTTGAATAACAAAAATTTAGATTAATTAGGTTTTCTGATGTTATTGATATATTTGTAAAAAAAAATTGTAATGGGGTACATTTTTAGAGATGAAATAGGGGAAAATTAAAAAATCTTATTTTAAGAAAAGAGAGAGCGATGATGACAATTGTTATGTTATTAAATCGTTGTAACTTTGAATGATTGATTTTACACATATATCATTTGGATAAGACTTGAAACTTATTAATTTAGGGTTAGAGCCCTGGCACCACCTGCACCACCTCCCCCTACAATAGCTCAAATTATTCAAGCGCAGATAGGTAAACGGCTTTGTTAAACCTCATTTACTTGACCTACAAACTTAACTACTTAAGCTTAACTGTTTCACGCATTAGAACAGAAATGAATCAATTTGTAATTAGAATCAGCTGATACTAGTTAACTGATATCAGCTGAACCGTGAATATTAGAATCAGTTGATGCTAGTTAACTGATCTATCAGTGGTTTATATAATCGTAAATATTAGAATCAGCTGATGCTAGTTTACTGATATATCATTGGACAATAGAATCGTAAATATTAGATTCAGCTGATGCTAGTTAACTGATATATCATTGGTCAATAGAATCGTGAATATTAGAATCAGCTGATGCTAGTTAACTGATCTGTCATTGGTCAATAGAATCGTGAATATTAGAATCAGCTGATGCTAGTTAACTGATATATCATTGGTCAACAGAATCGTAAATATTAGAATCAGCTGATACTAGTTAACTGATCTATCATTGGTCAATAGAATCGTAAACATTAGTATCAGCTGATGCTAGTTAACTGATATATCATTGTTCAATAGAATCGTGAATATTAGAATCAGCTGATTCTAGTTAACTGATCTACCATTGGTAAATAGAATCGTAAACATTAGTATCAGCTGATACTAGTTAACTGATCTATCATTGGTCAATAGAACCGTGAATATTGGAATCACCTGATGCTAGTGAACTGATATATCATTGGTCAATAGAATCGTAAATATTAGAATCAGCTGATACTAGTTGACTGATTTATCATTGGTCAATAGAATCGTAAATATTAGAATCAGCTGATGCTAGTTAACTGATATATCATTGGTCAATAAAATCGTAAATATTAGAATCAGCTGATACTAGTTAACTGAAATATCAGTGGTCTATAGTATCGTAAATATTAGAATCAGCTGATGCTAGTTAACTGATATATCATTGGTCAATAGAATCGTAAATATTAGAATCAGCTGATTCTAGTTAACTGATATATCATTGGTCAATAGAATCGTAAATAGTAGAATCAGCTGATGCTAGTTAACTGATCTATCATTGGTCAATGGAATCGTAAATATTATAATCAGCTGATGCAAAGGAATTGAGTCTGTGCCACAAACTCTTACTTTCTTATAACTATATCTTTGGAACCAAATGTTGTAAACTTTAGATATTTAAAATTATGAATTCTGTTAGATCAAATAGTCTGAGTTTGAAATATCACAGGTTTACAACATCGGGTTCTAAAGATATTGGGGTTTTAATATTTGAGTTTGTGGCAAAGACTCAATTCCTTTACAGATATATATATTGAAAAAAATATTCCTGAGCTCTTATTGGCTTCAGCCTCAAAGTCAAAATTTTTTCACTTAATTTGGATCAATCATTTTGTTCTAGGAGGTCATAGTTTGGATCGGCCGATCTCCAACCCAAGTTTAACGGATAAAATGATCAATGAAGAGTTAGAAACCATGTTTGATCTTGATCTTTCTGACAAAAGAAAATGGTATTTTCAATCATGTAACATGGGTATTGCAATCCTGGAAAATAGAAATATTTCAATTGCCTTCTCTAGATCTTCGGGTTAATTTAAAGCTATGGCATGTCTATCTAGATTTTAGGTTTGACAATTAACATTAACCAATAGAAGGACTAATTGAGCGTCCTAATGTCTTGGACAAATGATCAAAGACCAATTAATCAATCAAAATCTTCGATCTACAAAAAGGTTAGCTCACAATTGGTCACTCTTATTGGCTGGAAATTTCTAATTGGTTGAAGAATTATTGATTTTTAAAGAATCTCATGAAACTTATAGAAATTAGATACTAAAATTCTAGAATAAATAAAATTGATAGAGTTTGGTTTTAGAGAAAAAACTGTTGCTTAGTGAAAAAAACACATTTATATTTGAAGAGGCCAAATGAAAAAAGCACTTGAGATATCAGGATAAATAATGTAATTTATCTTAAAAAAGTAAAAAGTAAGAAACAGACAGAAACTAAAAATAGGAAATAGAAATTGTGAATTATTAAAAAAGTGTGACGTGTTGGATATTAAAATGTAGATTTAGGTGAGAAATTCTGCAAAATCATACTTTGCAATATCATCTTGGTTCAGCTTGAGGCTTTATTCATCATAACTCCATATTCTACAGGTTTAAAAGGTTTAAAACTTGAAAAACAAAAAAGTTCCAATACTTTAAGGTGTAGAGAAAGAAAAATTTATTTTTTGCTGTGTTCGGTATCAAAATTCAATGTAACGAATCAATACCTTTATAAAGTTTTCTTTTCTGTGTGCTAACGTTTTTAAAAAAATTATGTTTTTGTAAAAAATATATTTTATTGTTCAGTGTAAACTTTAAAAAGTATGAGAAGAAACCGTCGGACCTTTCTGCTTCGAAAACTTTGGAGGTAAAATTTTGAATTTAAAAAATTACTTTTATTCAAAAATTTGGATTTTTAAAATGGGGGGGGGGGATAATTGCTTAACAATATATCTTATATATTTGTTAGTTCTGCGAAAATAGAGAAAAAAGTTTCAAATGACCAAGTATGAGAAAATTAATAAGTTAAGAATAAAAATAATTATAGAAAGGATTTGATACATCTTTACCATCGTGTTTCTCACACGAGGCGATTGGAATATTTTTAAAAAGGTTAAAATTCTGATCAAAGCGTTCTCATTACGTTTTCTCTCCTAGCAGAGTAATTTTATCCAAAATATTATAATGTACATTATGCCTGAGGATACACTTAACTCTTTTTACACAGAGCTTCAAAGAAAATATTAAAGTTGCTGAAGAATATTTCTCTAGAACATAAAATAGAATTTTTAAAAAAGGAATCCTGCTGCTAGATTACACAATAAATAATTCAAAACACGGGTTTAAAGTCAACCCTTTTTACATTTTTGTTGTCAATATAAAAATGCTGAACTCAATATTTTTCTGAAATTTAATTTGTGGAAGTCTAAATTTGGTTTTAAAAAAAAAATTAAGATATCAGAGCTCTTGATATATCTTGATCGAACTTGAAAGAGATCGAACTTGAAAGAAACTTTTTGTATGTAATTTGAAAATGTATTTACATTAAAACATTCGAAAACTTAAAATCATTTTCTCCTTGTATATAAGATGGTACGAGACGAGTCAGGAGAAAGTATAAAGAGAAACAAGATTGATTCTTCAAGAATAAAACATGTGAGAAGGAATGAGATCAAAGAAAATAGTTAAATAGTGTTTCTACAAGATGTACATTATTCAAAGAATGCCATTAAAATGATTCTGGCTGTAATTCAAAATTACCCTACATTCAAATAGGGCAATAAGCGATTCACAGCGATACCCTTTAAACATTTAGCTGGTCGACAATAATATAGAAAATTTTGTCTTTTTTAGCTTAAAAAGTATTACACTGGGAAAATTTTCCATGGAAATTCATGCATAATTAATGAGATAAAGCGCTTTTAATGGCTCCATTCTGAATATACGGTATAGCCTGAGATTTACATAAAAACTCTTCTGCATTTCTATCAAAATAGATGTAAATTGATAAAAAAAAAAATTAACGAGACGTTCGTAAAAAAATAATATTTTTAGAAATTAGCAATACTGTTGGTTTAGAAAACCCTAAAAAATCATTACTCAAGCTTGTCTATCAATTGAAATAGGAGTAGTCTTTAACACACAATAAAACAAAATTTAGAAAGAGAGATTTTTTTACAATTTCAAAATTGCCAGTCTGGAGAAAACCGTTTATAAATTTCATTAATGCTGAATACATATGTCAACATATTTAAAATTTGAATTTATAAACGTTAAATCACAAAAAGATTGTTAAAAGGAATTGAGTCTTTGGAACAAAATCAAATATTTAAACCACAATATCTTTAGAACTCGATGTTGTGAACCTTAATATTTCAAACTCAGATTACTTGATCTAACAGAATTCATAGTTTGAAATATCTAAGGTATGCAACATTTGGTTCCAAAGATATAGTGATTAGAAAATCAGAGTTTGTTGCAAAGACTCAATTCCTTTGCGTCTTTTTTATTCCCCGTAAATTGCATACTTATAAACAATCAATATCATTTTTATACACAAATGCTTAGAAGTTTAAGTATTATATTTAAAATTATTAAAGGGAGTGTTCGCGAAAAATGAAAGGGGGTATAGGCTTAATGCGATATTAAAGCGCTTTTGATCGCCACTAATTTTACTTCTATCTGTTGCATCTACAAGGAAAAAATTGTTAAAGACGTTTCATACCGAATAACTTAGCGCCCATACAAATTGAGAAAATTGCAACATATATTTTATTTTTTTAGAAAACGTTTTAACTGATTTAAAAAGATGTGAGTGGTGCGCGGCATTCTTAGATAGTTGCGCAAGCGACAAGAGAAATAATCAAATTCAAAACAAATTAATTAAAAAATATTATAAAATATAAACTATATACAAATGTGGCGAAAGATAATCAATGACTATAGGTTGAAATATCTGAATGATTTGTTTGAAATTAAATTTATTTTTTTGCAGTCTAAGTCGTATGTTGCAATGTTCTGAATTTGTATGAGCGCTAAGTTATTCGGTATGAGACGTCTTTAACAATTTTCTCCCTATAGACGCAACAGATAGAAGTAAGATTAGTAGCGATCAAAAGCGCTTTTTTATCGCATTAAGCCTATACCCCCTTTTATTTTTCGCGAACACTCCCTTTAAAGTAGATTAGAAATGTCAATAATTTTAAATCTCGGAGCCCTCAGACGAAATAAATCTATTGATGTTATTAAATAATATTAGCTTATGTAAATTAATCATAAGCTATACGGAACAACTTTAAACACAAACTTAATTCACATTTTATCATATAAATTCACCTAAACAAAAAAAACTAAATTTGGCGTTAAAAATAAAATAGGAAATTTTTCGGGTTAATGAAAAAAAAAATAAGATATTTAGAATATTTGATTGGTCCATGTTTGCGGATTTTAATCAGAAAAATTTTCTAAATCTATGTTTAGTTTTATAAAAGACCATTTAAAAATTCAAATTAAATTTTTTTGTATTTTCGCAGAATACTCATTTCAAGAGACGCTGGATTCACAATGGTACCCTGTAAACTATTGTACGAGCACATATTATGCATAACAATTTATTCTTTAAATTGCTGTTGCACTTTGAACTGACTTGCAGATTTAAGCGACAGAATCAAAAAAGGAAATTGACAGAATCATGTTTTTTAAGATAGAACACGGCGATCTTCCTTTTTGTCCATTGTTTAAAGGGTACTTTTGTGAATCGGGCATTCAGATAAGCTTGGTCTTTAATATTAAAGGACAAACCGGCTATGTAAGGTAATTGAACTGAGTATGCAGTAGTGTGGACAAATTCTTTAGGATTGATTTGAGACATATAAAAATTTTAAAAGATCTGTAAATCCTGAGTTTGAGTGCAAAGTCGACGTTCAAAATCGTACTTTTGAGTGGATATTTTCAGAATTGTTTTTTTTAATTACTAAATAGCTATCACAAAAAATGTAAACAAAATTCTACAACAAACTAATTAGTTGTTTAGGAACAGGTTGAGAAAATAAAAATTAATCTTATCATCGAAAATAAGTAATCTTATTCAATTATTAGTTTCTATTATCTCTTATTTTATTCACAAAGATTTTCTGCAGATTTTCTGGAATTATTATTGAAAAGACAACATTTGAAGAATTTGTAAAAATCTGCGAACAAATTCATAGAAAATAAGAAATTAAATATAATGATGAAAACGAAATAATTGACTCTAGCATTGATTTATTGACAAATTTCTTTTGAGAAATATATTCCTAACCATCTTATTCATTTACTGTGTAATTTTTACTTTATTTTTCGTCGTCGTTATTAAATAATTTAAAAAAAAACCGATTCTGAAAACATATCCACCCAAATTCATGATTTTGTACGTCGACTATGCACTCAAACTCAGTAATTATACATCGTGGAAACGTTTTATATGTTTCACATGAATCAAAAAGAATTTTTCCACAACACTGCATTGCATACTCAGTTTAACTACCTTGCATAGCCGACCTGTCCCTTTAAATTTCAAATGAATTCAGGCTGGATTAGACGTTTGGAAATTTCTTATTTTTAGTTTAGTTTAGTTTATAGATCTTTGTTCTTGTTTACGTTTTAGCATTTCAATATAGTTCAGGAAGTTAATCGATTTTCTTTTTCACTATTAGGAAAAAAAAGTTTTACAAAATACAATTATAAAATCAAATTTTTAATGATTATAAAAACTGAGAGCTTTTTCAAAGAAATTGAACTTTTGAAAGAAACTCAAATTTTCTATATTTTTGCAACCTGATGGTGTAAACCCTTGATATTTGATCTAACATAATTCATAGTTTGAAATATCTAAGGTTTAAAACATTAGGTTTCAAAGATATAGGGATTAAAATATTTCAAAACTTATTCAATAATTTTATCTAACAGATTTTAGATTTTAAAATACCAAAGAAAATAAAACATTGGGTTTCAAATATATTTATTAGAGTTTGTGGCAAAGTCTTAATTTATTTTAGTTCAATGATGAAAACTAATTGAAATATGAAATTAAAACAATTAAAAAAATGAAATTAATTGTTGTTCCAGTATCCTGCCGATCTCACCAAATCTTACAACAGAAAGGATTGGAATTGTCCCTGGGTGCATAAAGATGGAAGAGGGCTTAAACAAGCTATGAGGTAATCAAAGGTTTTATAATTTAGGATGGCTAGCTATGAGGTAATCAAAGATTTTATAATTAAGGATGGTTAGCTATCAGGTAATCAATGGTTTATAATTAAGGATGGTCAGCTATGAGGTAATCATTGGTTTTATAATTAAGGATGGTTAGCTATGAGGTAATCAAAGATTTTATAATTTAGGATGGTTAGCTATGAGGTAATCAATGATTTTATATCAAATGATAGTTGGCAATAGGTAATCAATGATTATGTAACAAAGAATGGTTAGCTATGGAGAAATCAATGATTATACAACATAAGGATGGTTATAGCCATGAGGTAAACAATGATTATGTAACGAAGGATTTTAGTTATGAGGTAATCAATGGTTTTATAATTAAGGATGGTTAGTTTTTAGGTAATCATTGATGTTATAAAAAAATATTCTTAGCATAAGGATAATCAATGTTTATGCAACAAAGGATAGTAAGCTATAAGGTTATCAATGATTTTATAACTAATGATGTAACAAAGGAGTGTTTAGCTATGAGGAAATCAATGATTATGAAACAAATGATATTTAGCTATAAGGAAATCAATGATTATGTAACAAATGATGGTTAGCTATGGGGAAATCAATGATTATGCAACATAAGGATGGTTAAGCCATGAGGTAAACAATGATTTTATAAATAAGGATGGTTAGCTATGAGGTGATCAATGATCATATAAATAAGGTTGGTTAGCTATGAGGTAATCAATTCTTATGTAACACATGATGGTTAGCTATGACGTAATAAATGATTACATTAGAAAAGATGGTAAGCCATTAGTAATAAATGATTATCTAAATAAGGATGGTTAGAACTGTTACCTGTAAATCTGTTATTGTGTTCTCTTATATTTTAAATCCTTATTTATAGTCCTTGTTAGCTTGCCGTCTTTGAATTACCTTTCATCATTCCTAATATAACAATCCTTTATATTGTCCTTGGTTGAGATTATGAACAACTAATCTAAACATTCTAAATTGAATTTAAGCCTGCAGCGCCCAAACTTTCGATGTTATGAATTTATCAAAAATATGATTATGAATCTAAAAAATCTTTTTTATTTGATAAATATGGGAATACCATTTGAGGACGGGATATTCTATAGTAATGCATTTCAATCCTAAATAAAAAGTCTCTTTCTAGAAAAACCATTTATAAATATATATATAGATATATCAAATGTGCATATTTGAAATGTCTTTTTTATTAAATATTCTATCAATAAAAATATTTTTTAACTTATTTCTTTTTATCACATGTCCTATGTCAAGACCTCTTTTAATCTGTTTACTTGACCGAGTTGGTATGCACGACTTAAATTAACAGTGATGCAAAAATAATTGTTTAAAATGAAACAAGAACTACTTTGTATCAAATTCAAGTTGAAAACAAACAAATCTATCAAATATCTGCAGCCACCAAATCTTACCAAACTTGCAAACTTTTATCAAGATTTTTAAAATGATAAAATATCTTTCTTCAAAGTTTGAAAACCTTTTCATAACTTTGTATTAGAAACAGGGCAATGAGAGGTGTGCTTTACCCCCCCCCCCCCACACCTGTGTTGTAATGATTGATCAAAATTTGACAAATTAAACATAATTATTTTCATTTTTTATTGACGGCGAATTTGTTTTTGATGAAAAATTATACAAGAAGACATTGTAAGTTTAAAAATAGTTAAATTGTGAAAATGCGAAAATGTTTGCTTTATATAAATCCGTAAGTTTTTTAGAAACAAAAAAGAAAAAATCAATTTCTAGATAGTACATATCCATATCCATATCTTTATCATTTTTGTTCAGGCAAAGACTTTTTAAATGGAAAACCTTTTTAGTTTTGTTTTGTATATGTTTTATTTATGTTTTATATAGGTCGACAATTATAAACAAAGAGCTTCACTTGTTCTCCATGCAAACAAAGACATTTCATGACTAAAATGTTTAGATAAGGGGGGGTCCAGCCAGCAGACAGCAGGCTGACAGCAGACCTGGATCTCGTCAGCTTCTCCTCGACAACTATAATACATCAAATAATCTAAGTATGTTATAGAACCTGATTACCCACTGACATAACAACAGTAAATATTAAAACATTCTCGACTTGAAATTATAATTACTAAAATACTGATCTGTACATCTTGGGTTACAGTGTTACTTGTCTCGAACTTAGGATTTTCTAATCTTTATTCCTTTAACCCTATAAAGGCTGGGGGGCCTGAATCTGTGTGTAGACAGGGGTTCCCCCCCTTTCTAGAAAAAGAACTTAGAGAATAGGTATAGGGTTGAAATTCATATTCAGAGCCCAATTTTTCAAGGCCAGCTCATTTAACGGTGATAGTGTCAAAAATCCTTGTATCCTTGTATCCCTGTATCCTTGTATCCCTGTATCCTTGTATCCCTGTATCCTTGTATCCTGGTAACCTTGTATCCTGGTATCCTTGTATCCTTGCATCCCTGTATCCTTGTCTCCCTGTATCCTTGTATCCCCGTATCCTTGTATTCCTGCATCCTTGTATCCCTGTATCCTTGTATCCCTGTATCCTTATATCCCTGTATCCTTATATCCCTGTATCCTTGTATTCCTGTTTCCCCCTGTATCCCTGTATCCATATAATCCTGAATGTATCCTTATCTCCAGAAAGCTCTGATACCTCTATATTGCTCTGTAAACTCAATCCCTGCAAAAATCTCTCCAAATATATTTGCAAATATATACAGAAATGTATCTGCCGATATCAAAACTTAAATTCAAAAATAAGAAGTTTTAATAATTAAACATGAGAAATTTTTGTCTTTTTGAAATAATGAATATACATTTGGATATTTCAATATAACGTTATAATCAGTTATAAGCCTAAAACAAAGTAAATCGTGTCCCAAGACTATTAAATTTGTAAATAGGCTCGAAGCCCATAATCTATTTTGTTGGGACACACTGCATATAGATAAAGAATATATTGTATATTGTATATACATATATATATGTATATGAGAACAAATGTTCGATATTCATTGACAATAATAATAACTAACCGCTGTCTATATATGTACAAATATAAAACCTAATCCAATAGTGTACATTTATTTATCTAATTTTCTTAATGGCGTATTTAAAAAAATGTGGAATTTTTTTTCCGCCTGCAACCTTCCCTTGGGTCATGTTGGTTGTCATTACAAATTTGAGCCCGATCGGATCCGACAGATAGGATAGGATAGGATAGGATAGGATAGGATAGGATAGGATAGGATAGGATAGGATAGGATAGGTTAGGATAGGATAGGATAGGATATGATAGGAAATTTTTTATTATTTTTTATAATTTCCATTATTCTCCAAATTGTTACTTATCGTTCTAAGATTATTAACTTTTAAAATAGGGGAAAAGAAGAAATTTTTTTTTCAAAATGCAAGAAATTATTTTTATCTTATTCTTTCTCTTACAAAAAAATGCCAAATAATTTATTTTAGAAAGTAACTCATTACACTATTAAACAAAAAATTTGATTTCTTGCCTCTTTTTTCCTTTCATTCTCTTATTCTTTTTTGTCTAAGATTTAAAGAAAAAGAAATATTCTGAAAGAATATTATTTTCTTTATATTATTGTATTGTTGAGGGAAGGTTTAGTGTTAAGCTTGGTAAATCCAAGTTGGAAAACTTGTAAATATGTTTGAAAGGAGTAAACTCTGAGTATTCAGTATTCAACTTGGATTTACAGAAATTTCCAAGTGAAGGGTTCAATTGAATCTTTGATTTATCAACAATAGAACACAGCATACAGGGACCAATACTTTCAGATTCTATGCAAAATTTTACGTAGAGTGGGATTATTAATTCATATTTGGAAACACATGAAACCACATTTGAAAATTCAAGCTTTTGCATCAAATGATTGATTCAAGCAATATCGTCTGGACGTTTGGTATAAACTGTGGCCTATCATATGATAATGCAGATAGCGCATTGGTTGCATTTTTATGATAAATGTTTTAGCAAAAATTATCTTTCATAACATGCTTGATAACTATGCAATGCATCTGTAGGTGCATGAAACAGTTAATTGTAAATTATTACGTCTGTGTAAATAGAATAGTAGTACATTATCTGTTGTAACTTATACCCCAACAAACCAGAGGATGTAACATCAACGTTGGTGAGACGTCATTATCAAAAAAAAATTTTATTTTTACCTTCAAAGCATTTTTGTATGCACTGTTGAGGAAATAAAATGCGAACACATCTTTCTCACAAGCACAAAATTTTTCTAAACTTAGTTCCTTACCAATCTTCTTAATATACAGACTCTTATGCATCCAAAAATCTATCATAATCTCTGCAATTACTCCTTTAAAATTGATTATAAAGACACATGAGTTGTGTTTTCTTAAATGTAAATATCTAGTGCTACAAAAATGTACAATTGAGCTTGTAAGATAAAACCAAAGGCCAAGGAGCTACAACACTTTAAAGTTGATTCAATAATTTAAATTGGTGTCCCATATAATTCAGTGTGATATCATTAGATGATCTTTATTCTAAACAAATGGAGACAATTTCTAATTTTCTTATCCCTTTTCTTTTCGGCCTAATGTTGTAGACCTTAAATATTTCAAACTATGAATTCTGTTAGATCAAATAGTCTAAGTTTAAAATATCAAAGATTTCCACTATTAGGTTGCCAAGATAAATGATTCATATCTAGGAACTGATGAATTATACGAGGAGGAGATGGAAGCTGAGTTGCAGGAGGAGATGATGATGAGAGAGGACAGAAGGATGGTACATCAGAGGGAGGAGAGGATTCTTCAGGTACAATTTAATCTTATATCAAGCCAATAATATTCAATTTTTGCCTAATACTTCTTTTATATAAAAGTAAAAAAAAACATTTTGTTGCTTAGAAATCCAGGGCTATAGAAAAGTCTGATTCCTCGACCCTCGATCATCCTACAAAGTTTCTTTTTATATAATTGAATTCTTTTAATTTTAATGATTGTAAATAAAACATTGTTGAAAAATCATATAAATTTTCCTATAAATCTGTACCAACAATTTCTTTATATTTGTGACGTAAAATCAATTATCGATTGAAACATAAGTTTATTAATGTTTATTAAGACTAACGTTCAAAAGGACTATAGTCCTCAAATGTGATAAAATAGGTTTTTCAATAAGTTCATATTGACATGATTAAATTTATATTTGTTTAAATGCTCTAAAAGCCGGCTTGTGAACTGCTGACTTTAGTTCAATCGGATATAAGTCCAATTTATATACCATCATACCAGTAATTGTTATCAAACGTAACTTTAATACAATAGGGATATCCAAAAAGAGAGGAATAAGAAGAAAATTTAAAGTGTGTACATTGGATATTCAGATCGGGATTAAGTAAATCCCATTCTAAAGTTTTCAACTCCAGAGAATCTATTCTAAATATTAAACAATGAAATTGGCGGAATTAAGACTGAAGATTTCTTAACTTGATATCGAGTTCAGAAGCTGAATTTAAAAGCTTAGCCACATATTCAAGACGCTAAATTTCATGCTCTGGGACTGAATTGAATGAATTTCACGGATTCAAATTCTCATGAATCTCTAACTTTAAGTCAATGATTCAAGATTTGAACTGGCAGTTTAGTGACCCAGCTCGAATTCAACAGTTCCTGGCCAATTTTGTTTTTAGCTTCAGTTTAAAAATGGGTGATGGGCAAAATTCTGAAAGAGTTTTGGATCAAAATTTGAATCTTTTTTAATGATGGAGACAATTTATAACTTTGTTTCTTTTGCCCAGGATGAAACCTACACTTCACGACTGATAAGCAGCATGGCGAGAGATAATGATAATTGTAAGTATATTTTTTTATTTTTTTTAAAGTTCGGATTCTTTTTCCTCTGAAATTTAGCTTGTCTCTGTCTGTTTGTTTGTATTCAATAAACGTCAAAACGGCTGAACCGATCGGACCCAATTTTTTGTGGGATCTCGCGTGACCCCAGGGAAGGTTTATGAATGATACAAATTAAAAAAAAATTATGTTTAAAAGTTTTTTATTTTGTAAAAAATTTTAAATTTTCAAAATCCGCAATTTTTTTAATAAAACCCGCAAAATGATTTTTTCTTTATTTTTCAATGTTACAATGCGAACATGTTCACAATTGAATTAGAAGATGGGCACGAAGCGCCCTTAAAGCCTAGTTTATTTAGAAATAATCTTGACTCATATTTCTAATCGTTGATGACTTGTAGTCCTTTGATATTTAAAACTTTTGTAAATGAATTCTCCTAGAGCACAAAGTCAACGTATGAAATGTCAAAGGTTAACACAACCAGAGCTGAAAACTTTAGAATGGAGGATATCAAGATTAATGCTTCATATTTTATTTTTCTTAATCTCCAGATTAATTAACCAATCGTGATTAAGGATATCCCATTCTAAACTTTTCAACTCAGAGATCAAAACTTTTGGATCCCCAATGATCCTAGGCCATGACTAGTTAAACTTCTTCTTGTATTAATAATTTCTGACTTTAGAAACGAAAAAAATAAGAATTACTAGTTCCATAATTAGATTCGTCCAGAAACTGAAAACTGAAATATCTGTAATTAGTTCGTTTCTTAGAAATTGGACATCTCAAAAAACGTAAAAACTTTTCTTTATGGTATCACTTGAAGAAAAAGCTTGCATGTTCAATGTTCTGGTATAAAAGAAATAACATTGTACTGGTACATGTGTTGAATTCAGACATTGTACATTATACAACGATATATTATATATATTCTACATTATAGAATAATGTTGGCCGCAGCCAGGATATTATATGATTAAGGAAAAGTTATGTTTCCATTTCTAAGTATTATTATTATTAATGTTTTCATTCTCTGTATGTAGAATAAAACCCAGAAATAGAAAATTTAATTTAATGGTTTTAAACCCACACTTCACTTTTTGAAATCATTTTTCATGAAAAAAAGGTAACAGTTTCAAATTTTCTAAAATAGTACTTAAATTTCAAGCTATTTTTATTATTGATTTCATTTAAACTAAACGAAAAATTTTAATTTTTTACAACAAAAAACTAAAGTTTCATGCTTTTTACAATTTTATTTCGTGAAAATAGACAAAAATTTCGAATATTTTTAATCATATTTTCTAAATATAAGAGACAAAAATTTCAAACTTTTGATCACATTCCTTCACAAGAGACTAATATTAATCTTTTTTCAATTAAATTTTCTAGTATCTTCTAGAGCATGAAACTTTTCGAGATTTATGGCCAAATAAATGAATCATAAAACCATATATGAGTAAATAGAATACGTCAAAATAGGATAAAATTATGATGGATCTTTTTCGCATAACAACAATTAATTAGCCCCCCCCTTTTTTTCCTTTCATATTTCCAATTTTGCCTCTTTCTGAGCCGTGTTTGCCTCTTTCTCCTTCGTCACTGCCTCTTTCTTCTCTGTCAATACCTCTTTCTCCTCCGTTTTTGCCTCTTTATATTCAGTTTTAACCTCTTTCTCCTCCATTTTTGCCTCCTTCTCCTCCGTTTTTGCCTTTTTCTCCTCCGTTTTCGCCTCTTTCTACTCAGTGTTGGCCTCTTTCTCCTCCGTTTTTGTCCCTTTCTTCTCCGTTTTTGCCTTTTTCACCTCCGTTTTCGCCCCTTTCTACTCAGTTTTGGCCTCTTTCTACTCAGTTTTGGCCTCTGTCTCCTCCGTTTATGCCTCTGTCTTCTCCGTTTTGTCTCGTTCTCCTCCGTTTTCGCCTTATTCTCCTATGTTTTTGCCTCTTTTTTCTCCGTTTTGCCTTTTTCTCCTCCGTTTTCGCCTCTTTCTACTCAGTTTTGGCCTCTTTCTCCTCCGTTTATGCCCCTGTCTCCTCCGTTTTGCCTCTTTTACCTCCGTTTTTCCCTTTTTCTTCTACTTTTTTACCTTTTTCTTATTGATTTTAGACTCATTCTCCTATCAGTTTTATCCCTTTTTCCCTTGGTTTTATCTTCTTTCTATTTGCCTATTTTGCCTCTTTCTCCTCCGTTTTTACCAATTCCCTCCGTTATTTTTTCTTTCTTCTCTATTTTTTTTACAGCGTATAATATTAGACTGTATTTGTGAAAGCCCAATAGAAACTATAATCCAGAAGTTTGCCAGCAAATCATCTGTTCGTCTTTTCATCTGTCCGTCTGTGAATATGTTTGTCTGTTTGTCGGCTTTTTGGCTGTCATTAAGTTGAGTATTTCGGTGCGTTTGCAACAGCAGAAGTGCAGGAAAAACCTGTTTGATGCCATTAGGAAACCTAGAAGCAAAAGATATTTGCGAAAAAAAACTCTGTAAGTGTTTACATAAATTGGCAAACAAATTTTGTTGTGTTGGAGATTTTTGAAATTATTCCGGATTTATCGCGATGCCCGAAAATGAGCAATTTAAATCTTTTAATATGCGGAAAACTGTTGCAAAATATCCTTCAAGTGTCAAATTTCAAATACCCACATCTACATATTTTCAAATTTAAAATTCTGATATATTTATTATACGTATATAATGTATATATACAAGTATAGTTCTGATCTTGAAAATACATATTTTTGACACATATTTGACAGGAAAGTGAATATAAACTTGAAATATAAACAGATAGAATTTTGATAATATTGGGAAAAGTATTTTGGAGAATGTTAAATTATCCATCTTTAAACCAACAATTTAAGGAATTTTTGGGGGAAAGCTATACTTAAGAATACTTAAATAGACAGATATATAGATGGATAGAAAGATAGATAGATAAAAAAATGAGGCAGATAGATGTAAAGCGAATCCTAGGCCAGTTTACTGTGACCCTTCGGGCTAGTGCAGTTAGGCAGCTGGTATTAAACTTTTTATAAAATTTCTTTTTTTGGTTTAACAATGGAATGGATTGAACATGTTTAATATTATGATAATATAAAAAATAAAAATAAGTTAACATAATCCCTGCTGTTCGATAAGTTTTTAAAGTTTAAACATATCTTTTGCCATTTTTTCTTATCTTCTTTTAATTTAAACTTTTATTCGTATTTTCTAAGAAAAAGTGATATTTTGGGACTGCACTTTTCGGGGTAAAGAAATTGAGATTGAAAAAAGTTAAATTAAATAAGTGGTTGAATTAAAAACAATTTACTCAAGTACCGAATCAAAGCTGTTATTAAGATTAAATTATTAAATTAATTTTAATCAATTCGACAATTTCTTTTTTTCCGATTTATTTATTTTGATTGAATAAACTTCAGCTTGAATAAATTAGATTAAGGTAGAATGGTTTGGCTTTTGTTTCTTTGGATTTTAATATAAAAAAAAATCAATGGAAATTTCCAATTTCTTGAATTTTAATATTTTAAAAATGAAATTTCTGTTTAGAATATCCTTGGATATTTTTGATTAAATTCATAGAATTATGTCTCTCAAATTCTTTGAACTGTTTAGAATTTTCTTTTATTATTTGTAGATTGTTGTACACAGACTCAAGCATTTACAAATAATTTATAAATTCGAAATATCTTAAATGCATAAAAGTATGAATTTTGAGAAATTTATGCAAAACAATTTAAAATTCATGACTTTTGTTCAAAATTTTGCACATAAAAAAGTTGTTGTTTTTGAATTATTGTTTCTATCTATCCAAGGAACGACATTATATATATTTTTTGTTTCTATCTGTATTTCTATCTATCTATCTATCTATCCTTCTAGAATAAAACTGACCGCCCCAGCTGGGTTGCCTGGCTAGGGTCCAAAACTACTGTGAACCTAACTTGATTCTTTTCTATTCTATGTTTTTCTTCTTAAAAAACGTTGTCTAGCTAATCGAGAATGAATGAGTTATCCATGTTCTTTTCTCTGAAACATGATTATTTCTAATTGTGTGTCCATGTGAAAGTGACACACAATTAATTGCCAGAAATATTGTCACTTAAAAAGTTTATATTTGGACAATAAATTTAGTTTTGTGTAAAGTACGTAGTCCTGGCGTTATATACTTCCTTCATTTTGTCAATTATCCCTTGTATTCAACAATTAAGAGGCATAATTGGTTTTGTAACAATGTAAATATGTAGTAAACGCCTACTCCATAACAATTTATCAAACCAGTATCTATCCAGGTTCAGTTCAGTTTCACTTAGCTATCAATGCTTTAACCCGGATAGAATATTTTTAGCTATTGATATCAATCGGAAGCTATTTACTATCAATGCCAAATCAAAGGGTGCAGAATCCTGTTAGCTATTGGTGTCAATACGGACACTATGCAATCAATTGATCAATGTCTCAAACAGGACAGGATCCATATGGCTACAATCATGTGAACTATCAACGCCACTACCACTGTGTGCGATCTGGTTTGCCAATTTAACTGGACCATAGAGATCTATTCATTAATGTTATAAACAGGACATCATCCACAGGGCTACACTCCCGTTAACTTTCAAAGCCACTAACACTGGGCGCGATCTGGTTTACTCAGTCAACCGGACACTATGCAATCAATTGATCAATGTTATAAAAAGGACATGATCCTCAGGGCTAAACTCCCGTTAACTTTCAAAGCCACTAACACTGGGCGCGATCTACTCTGTCAACCGGACACTATGCAATCAATTGATCAATGTTATAAACAGGACACGATTCGCAGGGCTACACTCGGTAAACTATTAACGCCACTACCACTGGGCGCGATCTTGTTCAATGTTCTATACAAGACAAAATCTCAATTTGTATGTTTCAACAAAACCATATTTACTCTCAACATGCTAATCAAAGCTGAGTTTCTGTATCAACGGATGTATTTGAGGTTTATATGTTACAAGCTATGGCATTATCATATCACAGGATTAAGCTAATCCTGCTATGTATTTATTTAAAAAGTAGTTCAAAATGAATAATGGGTTTTACGTAGAAGGTTACCCAATATTTATTACCAATATGCTAAAAGCAAATTGAGGCAGAGTAACAACCCCCCCCCCCCCCCGTAACTCTTAACATAGGAAATAAACGTCTATATAAGGTCAGGGATTGTCAGGGTAAAAACATTTCAGGTCCGAACGCTGCGTCTAGGACGTGTTAGTCAGCTGATCGCTACTTTTAGGACATGCTACCAGAGCTGATCGCTACTGTTAGGACATGCTACCAGTGTTATGTTAATCGCTACTGTTAGGACATGCTACCAGTGTTAATCGCAAGGACTGATTAGGAAAATATTTTAAAAGTCAGATAGGCCCTAGTCGGGACCTAAGAAAATATAAATTTCTAATTAAGAAATTGGAAATACCCATCCTTCCCGCTACTGTTGCCCGACGTCCTGTTCATCCCTTGAACAGTTAGTAAATAAGGTTTTAAATTGAATTCAGGATTTTATTCCAACTCCTCTGCTTGCTTATCTATTCTCACTCAACGGAAATATAACCAAACATATCAAGAAATTCAGGAAACCCCCTCCCCCCCCAACCCACATACATACTATATTAATATATAAATGATTCTTTACATTTTTCCTTATATCTTTCGTATCAAGGTCTTTACAGAAATAAATATGCAGAGAAGGTTTAAACAAATATTTTCTTGCCCGGTTACATTTAGATATCAATGTTCTGAATTGTGTTTGCAAAATTAATATTTTTGTTTATTTTTTATTTTCAAGCATTTCTCACTTGTTGCTTAGTGTTTTTTGAATTATGGATCAAAAAAATGTTTCACATCAAAAAAAATAATTTTTAACATTTTCAACCTTTTTTTGCCTTTTTTTTAAACTTCCTAACACCCAGGGGGGGCTGCCAGTCTATAAATAGATTCAGACCTCCCAGTCTTTATAGAGTTATGTAAACTATATCTATAATGATGAAAATACTGTTCAGATTATTGTGACCGTGAGGGTGACTCCCAGGCTCCACCAGATTTAGAACCAGTAACTCCACAACCTACAGATATGGTTGGTCAAGAGGTAGAGAAATATATTTAAAGATATGTACAATTTCCCAAGCGGCAGCAAAGTCTTTCCTAGCTGCACCGCTTGATCCCTCGTCTGTTCTAGCCGCAGCCCTTGGCCCTCTATCCCATCCTAGCCGCAGTGATTAGCCCTCATTGCACCCGATGCGACTCAGAGGACCTAACCTAACCTTTGGAAAGTTGTCGCTTGGAAAATTGCACATTTGGAGAGTGGCTATATGTGAAATTGTCACTTGGCAACTCGCCCTTTGGTAAATGCCTTTGGGAAAATACCTGACACCATAGAAAAGGGAGAGATAATCCCCCCCCCCCTTACCTCCTCAGCCTTCCCCCATATACAACCAAATTTAAGATTTTGATACAAATTCCATCATGATTGATACTAGCCTTACTCTTTGTGAACATATTTAACTCTTGAACACCGTCTGCTGCTTGCTTTATCCCCCTAGGGTTGTTATGAACCGTCTGCTGCTTGCTTTATCCCCCTAGGGTTGTTATGAACCGTCTGCTGCTTACTTTATCCCCCAAGGGTTGTTATGAACCCTCTGTTGCCTACTTTATCCCCCTAGGGTTATTATGAACCATCTGCTGATTATTAATCACCCTAGGGTTGTTATGAACCGTCTGCTGCTTACTTCATCACCCTTGGGATTTTATGAACCTTTTTTGGTAAATTTATCACCCTAGAATTGTTAAGATTCATTTTTTTATTACTTTAATATCCTAGCGTTGTTATGAACGGTCTTTTGATTCATTTAGCACTCTAAGGTTTTTATGAAACATCTGCTGATTAGTTTATCACCCTACGGTTAATATGATCCGTCTGCTGATTATTTTATCACCCTAGGATTGTTATGAACCATCTGCTGATGAGCTGATTGACGTGTTGAAGAACCTGGAAAACTTGGCAGCATCAAACCCTGGACTATACAAATCCATTGTTTCTCAGATTAAAGGTAGGATTTTAATCTTTTCCTTTTTTTGATGAAAGAAATAATGTATTGCTATTTAATCTTTACTTATCTCATAAGAAATTTGCCGGATCAAATATTTTAGAAGAAATCTCCTTCCTTATATATTCGAATTTATCTTTAACACAAATGTTTTAGACTATGTCAACTATTAAAACTTTTTGAAAAAATCGAAAAATCTGAAGAAAAGCAAAAGGTTTTTTAAATCGTTTGATCTCAGATTTCAAAGGTAAAGAAAGGGTTTTTGATTAAATTCCAGTACTAGAGGTGGCCTGAGAAAAATATTTTTCTAGTAAATCCGTTTTTTTTCTTAAGACTTTTTTTTACATAAGCTTAAGTTTACTTAAATTTGTCAAATTGGTGAAAAAATACATTACAATTTTTTTCCTATTTTCTATTTTGTAAGCGGAGACTTGTAAAAGCTTGTGCAGTTTGAATATAAAATGTTTAAACCTTTTTACATTGAAAATAATACCATTGAAACAGGTTTATAACTTTAAAGGGACTGTCAGCGTATTTCAAGAGACCTATAAATCAAAAAGTACAAAAATTAAATCTGTCTTTGAACAACAATGATGAAGAAATCATAGTTTTTTTGTGTCTGAAGGCTGTTGCATTCTATTTCCTTCTTTTCGCCTGTTGCAAAAATATGCAACTGGCATTAACTGAAGATTAACTTGAAATAACGTAAACAGTCTCTTTAATATAATATTATGCATTAGCTACGACAGAACAAGAAGAGGCAACCCTTAATTACATAGAGAACACATCCAATTATGTTCCGACTCTAGCCGGTAATTCACTTTAGACTTCACAGAGAGTTCAAGAAACTAGAATTAATAATAAAAATAGAAATAGCTGTAGATTAATCATTGAAAATTTCATTGTAAACATCAACAGAAGATTTTAAAATTTTTGTTTTTAAAAAATTCAAAATCTGTTTGAGGAACTTTCAAATTATAAAATGTTTAAGAATACTATTATTGAAATTATAATTTAAAATAAAATAATTCATCAATAGATGTAGATGATTCAATAAATATTTCATTTCGTAGTTAATAATAGAAAATTTTAAAATTCATGGAGAATATCTAAAATTGCAAATTTCTAGAAGAACTTTATATTTTTAAAGACTATAGCATTAACACTCTTTTCTTAAACCAACTATTTCTTCGGTCAGTGTACTGCAATTTACTGCAATACACATCGAAAGCTTTGTTAGGGGTGTTAAAAAATGAAAGTGTTTTTTAAATGAAATTTTGTATTTTATTAACATTAAAAAACAGAAAAAATACTTGAATTCAAACAGTTATAATAATTTATTACAACAAAACCAAACGTATACCTTGTATGCTTAATTTAAAGCTAAAAAAGTTGTGAATAATCTAAATTAAACATATGTTCTGAACTTTTTTGGTTTTCAATATGTGTTAAAATTCTATCTTTTTATAAAGATATACAAAGGAACTGAACATGCATCAATCTTTTGATTTTTGTAACCTGGTGGGGTTTAAACCTTACGAATTACAAAATTAGAGTTTGAGTTAAGTGTACAGAATTTCTTTATTTAATTTTACACAGTAAGTGACCCTGGGTAAAAACTTTAGAATGGTGGATATCAAGAGTAATGCCTCTTTTTCTTAATATCGAGAAAAACCTAATCTTGTACTTGTATCCTGAAAAGTGTATAAAGTTCAACCAATTAGAGTCTCGTATGTAAAGCTTATAAATTTGAAATTTTGCGCGCCATTTAATATTATATACAGGAAAGGGAGGGACTCTATAATTTAGAAAAACCGGTTTTTAAGGAAGAACGGTTTAAGAAGAAAATCAAAAGTGTGTCCATTGGATACTCAGATTAAGTAATCGGGATTAAGGATATCTCATTCTAAAGTTTTCAGCTCTAATTTCTTTATTTGTATGTTTGTTAAACCTATCCTGATCAGGCTATTTTATCTAACTTTTCAACTATGAAGTTAAAAAAGTTAGGAAGAAAAAAACTAAGATAATTAATATATGTAATTTGATAATAATTGATATTAACATTTTCATTCAACCTTTAAACTATAAATGATTTACTGCAGCACTTCTGACCTATAACAATACAAAATCTAATAGAAAATAAATTTAGAATTATGAATTGTATATTTGTGTCTGTTATTACATACAAGTTACATTAAAGTTATGTAAGTAATTATAATTATGGCATTTGTAAGTATTGCATGAAGTTAATAAACATTTTTATTACATTTTGTAACTCTTAATTTTCATGCATGATATACTTACAATTTTTATATTAACTATAATTGAATATGCACTAATTGTATATCAATCATTTTTTGAAACATTTTTTTATCTCACTAATTGTAAATGAAAAGTAATTTATGTATAAGTTCCGATTCGCTTACTTTTACACATAATGGTAAAGACCTTTAACATGTAAGTATATGAATTCTTCTATATAAAAAAACTTTGAAAAAGGTAAAACAAAACAGACTGCAAAGATATAGGGAATAGAACATTTGTAATCAGTTTCCTTAAGGGTAAAAAATCAATTGGTATAAAAATTAACCCCGAAAAATACGAAAAAACTAAAAATTCAACTAAAAACTTAAATGCTATAATGTTATATAAAACCATGATAATATTAACAATCATGTCTAAAAAATGTTAACAAATTCGTATTATATTGTATATTGTTATTAATTTGATTAATGCATGTTATAATTCCGTTTACAATTGTTTTAATCGCAAAACCTTGCAATAGAAGAAAGAAAAAATATTAAAATAAGACTACATGCAATGTAAATATGATTTCTATAAATTAATTTCAAACACTTGTAATTTAAATGTAACTAATATTTGTGCATCATTATTTTTAACACAAACAGTTTGTTTTTAGTTAGATTTAGACATGCCCAGGTCAATTTAACTATCTAGCATTAATGAACTAATTCTTAACCCATAAATTGAAAAAAGGTCGATTTTGGTCTTCAAATGGTGACATGGAAAAAAGGAAAAACTCTTGAAATCAAAAACTAAAAAAATATATTTGAGAAGTATGTAAAATTGAACTCTTCCACAATTTAGAGTGCAGACTAAATTATGTAAAAAGTTAATCATAAAGGGACTGTACAGGAAACATAAAAAGGGGTATAGGCTGAAACCTGAGAATATCAGGAATGATACCTATCTGATGTTCCTGTCTCGAGAAATTAAAATAAAACAGTGTCAAAATTATAACAAAACATATATATGTATAATATACGTCTGTATCACGTGACCAGAACTCCCTCCAATGGTCATGTGATACAGTCGGAGACACATGACAATAATACTGCACTACCATTGGTTGGAGTTCTGGTGACATTAATAATATTATCAATTATATCTATGAAAAATTAAAAATGATTAAATTTAAATAATAATAGGAGCAAACTTGAGTTTCTCAAGCTTCTCTGGAATATCGTTGTTTTCAGATTGGTTGCGTATTTGTTGAATATTATCTGTTTAATACTACGAATCTTATACAAAATCTTACATATTTACGTTTAGGTTTAATTTTGACACAGTTTTATATCAATTTCTCGAGACAGGAACATCAGATAGAACTCTTATATGTCTCAATCAACTCCTAAGATTCTCAGGTTTCGGCCTATACCCCCTTTCATTTTTCCTTTACAGTCCCTTTAAGCTTTTTTTTCGAGATACAGCTAGTGTAGTCTGTTCTTCGAGATACAGCTAGTGTAGTCTGTTCTTCGAGATACAACTAGTGTAGTCTGTTCTTAGCTGGGTTAATCTATGAAGCAAAGAAAGGATTAAGTAGTGCTTTAAACTGGCTTACATAGTGTTAACTTAGTTTTGTCTTGTCACATTATATATAAGTTTAAATTCTATATATTTTAATTCTGTGGACTTAGTTCCATTTAGATTTAGTTGTCATTTTATATTTAACATCTAATTACATCTAATTATAAAGATTAACAGTATGAATAGTTTTCATGTAGCAGAAAGAAGGACTGTACGTGGGACCTCTCCTGGCCCTTCATGCAAAGATGGCAATGCCTGATTTACAACAGTAGCCTTGATGTCTGATCAAGTGTACATTAGATATCAATGTTAATTTTTTTATAATAGATTATTTTCAATTGTGGTTTCTCCACAAAAGTGAATTGCACAATATTTACTGCAAGAAAGCATATATACTGGAATTGTTTATTAATCTGGAAAAACGACAATATCTTCCTTATCATTGATCAGATAAAGGTACTGTTGTGAATCGGGCATTGTTATCGTTACTTGAAGGGTCTCTTGGTCCCTTCCAGCAAGAATTGTTCCAAACCAGGATTATCAAGAATTATGTACAATATGTACATAATTTGTACTGGCCCGGCCTCATAATGTACAGGGTTTTATCCAGCTCCGTAATTAGCTATAATTCCGTATTTCATTTATAGTACAGCATTTCTATATTTCAATGCATCCGCCTTATTTTTGCTGATCCTGGGTTGTCATGATTGACTATAGATTTACTGTTTAATAAAAAAACAAACAATTTGTTTTGTAACTTTCGTAAAGATTTTATTAATCTTAAAGGTTTTATCTCGATATCTAACGTGGGTGCACTTTTTTGATGATAATTGCTTGATCAGTTAGTTCAAGCTATCCCTGCACGGTATGACCATCACTGGATATCAAAGAGTAATTCAATTAAGTACTAGGATTGCATTAATTTTACAATTCCGATCTCCTATTATTGTAGAGAGCCAGCAGTATGCTGAGGAGCAGGCCTATTACGAGCAGCAGCTTCAGCAGCAGCAGCAACAGCAGCAACTGTTTCAGCAGGAGACTCAGTTCTATCAGGTAATTCATTTCTACCCCAAAAGTTGGATGATTGCCAAACAAACGATTTTTTGTAAAATATAAGATATTTTTGTTGTTTAATTGCTGACGGTTAAAGTAAAACATTCTGTTAAAATTTTCTGGGGTTCTCCATATTTACAGTGCATGAATTGATACAAAGATCTTCTACTGTATGAATATAAGAATTTACTAAAGAGGACATTCAGTTCATTGTTTTGGAGGAAAAGCAGTAACTGGGACAAATTAGAACTATCAGATTGAATTAAGACAGAATTGATTTATATCACATGGAATGTGTTATCTATTATTACGTATTTAAATAACATTTTTTTTAAATATATTTAAAAATAAATTACTTATTTGTAAAGGAGGAGGAACACTTGATGAATGGGGACTCTAACCACATGTACGAGTCTAATGAGTTGACCCAGCAGGAGATGTACCAGAGGGAACAAGAGATTTACCAGGTAATTTATCATTACATTAAGGATATCCTTCAGACCTCACGTCAAACTACAGTAAAATGTTCGTAAAATTTATATGTTTTTTTATATCATACAGGGTGTCCCAAAAACATGGGAATTCAGTGACGAATTCGATATCGTCTTTCTTACGAATTAGCATAGTAATACCTAATTTCAAAAGCCATAATATTATCATGTCTGCTAGAGTTTATTTTATGAAAAGGGTAAAAGACTGTAAAGATGTGTCTATAATGTCTCCGCAAGCAGTGAAGACGGACAAGTTTACACTGTTTGTATACTGCAATTTGCTTGTTTTACTAAGTACAACAGTATGCAGTCAAAACATAAACAAACAAAATGTGAACATAGCAGACGAAATAGATTACAGCTTTCTCAGTAGGTATCACTAAACTAAATCAAAGAATTATTTAAAAAGACGATATCGAATTCGTCACTGAATTCCCATGTTTATTGGGACACCCTGTAACTTCTCTTATTAAAATGTCATTGAGAAGAACAATGCTTTGAACTCAAAATATGGAACCGAATAAAGGATTTGAGTCTTTGCCACAAATTCTGATTTGCTAATCACTATATCTTTTGAACCAAATGTTGCATACCTTAGATATTTCAAACTATGAATTCTGTTAGATTAAATAATCTGAGTTTGAAATATCAAAGGTTTACAACATTGAGTTCTAATGATATTGAGGTTTATTTATTTGATTTTATTCCAAAGACTTAATTTGTTTTTATTTCACGTCTGCCAGAACTAGAGAAGCAACAGTTATGTTAATCAAATTTGACCTTCTGTTCCTTGTTAGTTTGCAATGCCAATGAAGGCTGGGGGGTCTCCATCTATTTATAGACTTAAAGTGTTAGTGTAAATGTATTGGGTTGAAATGCATGTTCAAAGCACTATTTTTTTCAAGGATAGCTAAAAATATACTAAAAAAAGGTCGAAAAAATGTTTATAAATAATAACATGTTACACAAATTTTTTAGGGTTATTTTAAAATTCATTTCTCAGATCGGTAGCCTTAAATAAATAAACAATATGGGCTATTTAAAACTTTTTTTACACAAAAGGGGCTAAAGATAAAAAACAAGAAGGAGGTTTAGACCTTTCTGTCTAGAATGCCAATTTTTTAAAGAAAATATTAAAATTTCTAAAATAATAATAATAAATATTATAATAATAATAATAAATTCTACATTATTAATACAAGTCATAATAGTTTTTTTTTCATCTTGCAAGTTTCAATTGTTTTTATTTTGTCCACACAATTTTTTTGACAATTTTTAACATTTTTCTCAACTTCAACAAGTTTTCAAAGGAATTGAGTCTATGCCACAAACTCAAATTTTCTAATCCCTTTATCTCTGTAGCATAGTGGTGTAAACCTTTGATATTTAAAATTTAGATTATTTGATCTAACAGCTGAATTCATAGATTGGAACATCTAAGGTCTACGACATCAGGTTCCAAAGATATTGAAATTAGTAAAATTGAGTTTGTGGTATAGACTCAAATTTCTTTTTGCGTGCACTGCAGCGGGCATCAAACCTATCTTGCAATTGTAATTTAAGTCCTATCTAGGTTCGATTCATGAAAAATGCTTGGTCACATTAGCTGCTTTTTTTCTGTTCTCCATATAGGATGCTTATAAATCCACTATTCAGGAGCAGCAGCAGTATGAGGAGAGCAGCGAAATGAACCATATGAATGGAGTAAACCAGGTATGAGCAGTAAACCAGGATTGTAAACTTAATCCAGTAAATTAAGGATTGTTCATAATGCATCCATAGTTTATATATTCCATAAACAATGGTCTTTAAACATGGTTTATGTTTCAGAGATGGGCTTCGTTTTTGGTTTGGTTTTTTTTGTTTTAAACATTAAAGGTTAATTTTGTTAAATAGTGTGCACATTGCACAATATGAACTCGACCATTAGATATAAGCTTAAAACAATTTTGGTTAAATTTTTTTGTAAGAGTGGAATTTTGTGTAGTACAATAGAAAAGCAAACTTAGTGAGAATTAAATTTCGAATGTGTGAAAAAAAAGGGAAAAAAAGAAAAAAACTTTTGTTTGAAAATTGGGTCAAAAACTAACGCCCATCATTAATTATGTTGAAGGAGAATCCAACTGCTCAGTTAGAATTCCAAATTTAAGTTAATTCACTTGAGATTAAGATTCTCCATACAAATAATTCGGTACAGATGGCATAGAACTTGATTGTATAAAGAGAAAAACTTCTTTCTTTTAATTTTAAATCTGTGGGTTCAGTGCTAAAATAAATTCTACTCCCTTAAAAGGCTTAACCTCTGATGCTGAAAATATGAATGGTTTTTTAATTATCTATTGACGGATTTCCAATTTATACAAATTAATAAACTCAATTAACTATATAGAAACTGCCCAATTTCTTGAAAATGATTACTAAAGATTTTATAAATCAAAATCAGCAAGAAAAAAATTTAACTTGAAACATTTTAGAAATTTCATGAGAAATATGCAACTGAAAAATAAAACGTTCTATATTATTAATTTAAAAGAAAAAAATTGTGCAAAAATTTTTAATTTTCTAAATTCAATTCATTTTAAAAATTCAATTTTGAACGAATGGAAACTTTGGCTGAAAAAGTATCGAAACTTTTCATTAAAAAAGTAATTGGGTCTTTGACACAAACTCATATTTCTTTAAACTTATATCTATCTATGCAACTAATGGTATAAACCTTAGATATTTCAAACTTACCTTACTTGATCTTACAAAAATAATATTTTGAAATATATAATGTCTCCGACATTTGGTTGCAAAGGTATTGGAATCAGAGTTTGTTGGCCAAGACTCAATTCCTTTGGAATAATTTTCGCAAGAATTACATTTGACATATTTTGAGGAGATAATTGAAACTGAGGAGGAGAGAAACAAACGCCTAAAGATGGAGAGACTGGAAAGAGAGGCAAATGAAGAGGTAGGATCTTCTTAAAGGGAGTGTAAGGTAGTTGAACTGAGTATGCAGTGTTGTGGAAAACTTCTTTCGGATTCATTAAACTTTTTCAAGATCTGCAAATCCTGAGTTTGAGCGCAAATTTGACGTTTGGGAGTGGATACGTGTTCAGAATACTTCATATTCACTTTACATGGTTAGTCTTTTAACCTGTCTCTGATCAAGAAGAAGTGAGATATTATTTTTGATTAAATATTTTCAAATGCGGTTTCTTAATGCAGCCGGACAACAATGAAGGAATTCATCATTATTAAACACTCTTTCAAATAGAAAAACGAAAAAAATCGTACTCATGTTTTCTCAGATGTTTCAAGGGTACCGTTATAAAGCGTACATACAACTCTTTAAAAATACATCTACAACTTCCCTTAAAGATATTTTTGATTAGGTGCGTATAGCTCTACAGAAGCAGCGTGAAATGAAAATGGCTAAACTGCAAGCAGCCGAACCCCCTAAACCCAAGGAGATCACAGTTATTGCTGGTGAGTTTCAACTTTTTTCATCATCACTTTATTTTCAATTTTTAGTCGGCTTTTGACCAAAGTTACCGACCTATGATTCAGCGAACAGAGGATATTACTTAACGTTCCTTGGGACAATGAAGAAAATAATAAAAATTCGCACATTTTATCTCAAAAGACGATAAGATTATGTACACCTACTTTTTCGGGAAATAAAAAAAAATCGGAGATGTTATATTGATAAATTAGATTCTATTTTATCATCAAAAACAATTGTCCTTTCTAAACATTTATCATTTTTAATGGCGGTTTCGCTAATATTTAAAGGTCACTTGAATTTATTATGTCTTATTGTTGAATATTAAACTAGTTTGTGAGCTGTCCTTTTTTATATTAATATGATTTCATAAAACTATTTTATTTAGACATCTATAAAATATAAAATATTATTGTCCTTCCTTGATGTTTTCTTTCCTGTCATATTTCCTAATCTTAACATATTTTTCTAAGGCCCTTGACAGACAAATCCCAGACGTTTTTTATTATGATTATTGTTGATTCGGGGATTTTTTCCCTCTAACAATATTAATCTATATATTTCCCTTGCTTGTGTGTCTGTCGGTTTGCTTGTTTGATACAAAAAAGAACTGCTATAGATCATCTCGTCGAATTCCAGAAAATGTGATCACAACCTAAATTGCCTTGTAAGCATTAGGGACAAATCGAATTTTTTAAGTCCTTAATATCGAGGTGCAATTTTCATGAATTTCCGGAAATTTTAGCGACTGAACCAGACATAAATTTATTAATCTTATTTTAATAACAACTCAAAAACTTGAACAATTCAATACTTCAGCACTTCAACACTTGAAAACTGGAAAACTTCAAAACTAAAAAACTAAAAAATTTCAAAACTTCAAAACTCCTAAAATCCTTATAAATATATAAATAAATACAAAAACATTTAAAAAATCTAATTTTAATTTTTTCAGTAAAAAATGTCTGCTATAACAAATATCAAAGGATGCAATAATGCATTAGAATCTTTCATATATCACTCTTGAATGTCCTTGGTTTGTTGTGGTTCGGTGTCTTGGTATATAATGCATTAATATCAATTTTGAAGACAAAACAAAATGGTCGCGTTAATGTTTCGTTACAACCCGAATACAGGATTAGTACATGAATATTTAAAAATATGTCTGCACTGCATAAACTGGTTTTAAGGCTCGGCCCGGATTAGACTAGATGACATTCTATCAAAGAACTTACTAACGGCTAAACAGAAGTCCAAATTTTCAATATCTCAAAAAATATTTTAAGCAGCTTCCAAAAAAAAGGTTTTATTTAAAAAAGGTTTAAAATCCGCAAATAAAAGCAGAAACATCTACAAAATATTTGATTTAAAATGTACGTCAAGGAAGAGGAAAGGTCTCGCCCTGGAAGCCAAGTATTAAAAAAATTTGTGTTTTGGTATTTTCTAAAAGTTTTGTTGTTCATGCAAATGGTGGTTATTTGGTCGGAAAACTGTATTACTTATGTGTATACGATGAAACTAATCTTCCAACCCATTAACTTCTACTCCATTTGCTGCTTGAAAACCCGGCCCAGTTTGCTACAAAATCAATTTTTTATGTAAATAAATTATAAAAAAAGAATGGCTTTCAAAATAAGCCTAAACGATAAATCAAAAAACATTTTTAGTTTTCATATCACATTAGTTTTTAAGGAAAAAGACAAAATAAAAAAGTATAAAGCTTTTGAACTAAGCCTTCACAATCAAATTTGTCAAATTGGAAAAAAATCCTATTACACCGTTATTTTGTAGTTCTAATCCTATTACACCGTTATTTTGTAGTTTTAATCCAATTTTAGTTAACAATTTTGTATTAAATGGGTTCTTGTGCTACTTTCAGAAAATGTTTTTACAAAATACAAAATTATTTTAGCATCTGTACGATATCATTCAATATTTAAAGATTATCTAATTCTAAAATATTTTTAAATTCATATAAAGATCCTGTTTTTTTTGTAAATTCAAGCAACCCTAGCTTCATTTAAAAAAAACAGGTGTTCTTTTAAACTTTCTCTGATCAATACTTTGGAAATTTTTTTTTCAGTGAAACAGTGTTCAATTATGACACTTATTTACGTTGTTTCTGATTGAAAATTATCAATCATCATACTAAAAAACATGGATATCTCATTGATTTTTGATCATATACAAAGCTGTGGAGGGTGCCGTTGTGAATTGAAAAAAACTGTAATTATATAATCATATAATTATATAATTATATAAATATATAATTATATGATTACAACGTACTATTTCAGGAGACGGAAAGCAGGTTAAGATTGTTCTAGGAGGAGAACCTAATACAGAGGATAGTAGGAAACAGGTAAACAGCATTATCCCTTCTTTTGGAATTTTTAAAGGAAAACAGATTCTCGGATTTTTTTCCGCCCCCCCCCTCAAAAAAAAATTGAATTATTGATGAGATTATTCTAAAAATTTTAATGACAGAAAAAATAGAATTTTCATTTGATTTTCTGTGTGTAAATATGGGTTAAAAGAAAGTTAATCTAATAATGTTATTTTTCTTTCTTGTTTCAAATTCTTAATTTACTATTTTTGGTTGAAACCTAGATATTTCACCAGATTTCAACATTATGTCTCTGATTCGATTTCCTATCTTAAGCTTTAAATATTTACAAGTCTGAATTCCAAATAGAAAAACTCCAAATCCAGAAAGAGTAAAGTTAAAATTCTGTCTGATCCTATTTTCAATTGAAAGCTTTTGTTTGTGTAGAACATTAAGATGATGCATGATGTTGATTTTTCTCCAAAATTTCACAAGAAATGTTTAATACAACTCTCCGCAGAGTAACATAAAGAAGATATAAGAACAATTTAAACTTTTCACCGTTTCTCTACACACTCAATACAAACCATACATCATCAGCTAGAGGGCAAGGTTGTATGATAAGGTTGGTCAATCTCTATACGCTCAAATCAACAGTAAATGATAGATAGATAAAAACCACATATGACGTCACTGATTATAGAGGCAAAGTGACGTCATATGAGGCTTTTTTCTATCTATCTTAGGGGACGACCTTTTCGTACATTGGAGGGCATCGAGAGTATAAACCAACCTGATTATACAACCTTTGCTTGGGAAATACAGAGCTAGGAATTTTAAAAAAAGTAGTTAAAGTAGTGAGACGTGGTTCAAAGAAAAAGAGATTAGAAAATGAGAATTTGTAGCAAATCTGCACATAAAAAAATATCTTTGTCAAGTGTTGCTTACCAATAGTACAAGTCTGCAGTATAAATAGTTATGCTACAAATTAAAAGAATTATTAAAACTATTTTTTCAAAGTTTTAAATTATATTAAAAAGTAATTTCCATACATTGTGTACTTATTGCATATAAAGCAATAGAGTCTGTCTGCCTGAAAGGTTTTTTATTGCTCCAGTCTTTATTTAGAGCTTATGCATACATGTAGAGAAGTGAGAGCTGAATATGAATGGTATTGAATGAGGGGGGGGGGGGGTAGGACAGGGGGAGAGGGCATCCGGAAATGTTGCTATATCTACCAGTAAAGGAATATAGGAATAAGAAAAGCTGTGAAATGTGTACTATTTATATTCAATACCGACTGAATACAAGTTGTAAAAAGGTTTGCTTGTATGGGAACCAAGGAAGGAATAACAGATAAAATATAGATGAGACAACATTCCAGCGAACAGAACTAGGATGAAATACTTGTTTAAAACTAGTTTATAAAAAGTCAACTTTAAAGTGTTTAACTGTAGAGAGAATGTTCTATCAGTGTTATCTGTAGAAAAAATATACAATTATTGTTTGTATTTGTCCTATCTATGTTATCTGTAGAAAAAATATATAATGATGGTTTGTATTTGTCCCATCTATGTTATCTGTAGAGAGAATATACAAATATGGCTTGTATATGTCCTATCTGTGTTATCTGTAGAGAGAATACACAAATATGGCTTGTATTTGTCCTATCTGTGTTATCTGTAGCAAGACTATACAAATATGGCTTGTATTTCTCCTATCTGTGTTATTTATAGAGAGAATATCAAAATATGGCTTGTATTTGTCCTATCATTGTTATCTGTAGAAAGAATATATATATATGGCTAGTATATGTCCTATCTGTGTTATCTGTAGAAAGAATATACAAATATGGCTTGTATTTGTCCTATCTGTGTTATCTGTAGAAAGAATATACAAATATGGCTTGTATTTGTCCTATCAGTGTTATCTGTAGAAAGAATATACAAATATGCGTGTATTTGTCCTATCATTGTTATCTGTAGAAAGAATATACAAATATGGCTTGTATTTGTCCTATCAGTGTTATCTGTAGAGAGAATATATAAATATGGCGTGTATTTGTCCTATCTGTGTTATCTGTAGAAAGAACATACAAATATGGCTCTGGAAGAAAGTAGAAACCTATATTTTATTAGTTTCTTCTTGTCAAATACACACAGTACAGTACACATAAATACTCCCTCAACCCCAGGAGTACACAAAGATATCCTCCCCCCCCCCAAAAAAAAATAGTGCTTTAAAGTCCAAATATATTCATTGGCGTTTAAAAGTTAAAAAATTGATTTATTTATCAAACAATCACTGAACTGATTTTTTTTTAATAATTTCCTTTTTTTACTTAAAGGGACTGATATCGGTATTTTAAGGGACCCTTTACAGTAGGACTACAGCTCTATACAGTTTAACCCTAAATAAGCTTATAAACCAATACATGTAGGACTACAGCTCTATACAGTTTAACCCTAAATAAGCTTATAAACCAATACATGTAGGACTACAGCTCTTTACAGCTCAACCCTAAATATGCTTATAAACCAATACATGTAGGACTACAGCTCTATACAGTTTAACCCTAAATAAGCTTATAAACCAATACAACCAAATAAATACAATCAAATGTCGTATTCTTCACTTTCTGATAATAGAAATATGCAGATATTTAGTTTTTTAATTAAATGATTACATGGAGCTCTTTAAAACTGTTCCCGCATATTTATGGCTATTAATTTATTTTCGCAAATACTGATATTTACCTAAAATGGCATAAATTCCATTGAAAAATTGTCAAGAGGACATTTGATAATTTCTTTAAGATGTATGGCTCATTTAGGGTTTAATTCTGTATCGCAATTACAAATATCGTCATTTTTCTTAATTGCATTCCTGCTGCATAAATCGTCTAGTCATATTAACAAAATAGCTAATTTAAAAATAATCAATTTTCTGAAAACAAGGAAAAATTTAAAGGTTTAAAGGGTAAACTATTTATAAAGAGAAAGTGTTTGATTCTAGAATGAATTTTGTTTTATCATTTCTCCTAAACACGGTTCTTTTCAACACTAAGCTAAGGGATCATTTAAAGAAATGATACGGTTCAGATTTATAATTTTATCAATATCGACTCCATCAACTCCATTACAGCCCATTCTATAGTAGTATATCACAGGGGAACATGTGTTCAGATAAATACAATACGCATTATATACACTATTCAGTACAGTACAGTACAGTACAGTACAGTACAGTACAGTACAGTACAGTACAGTACAGTACAGTACAGAGTACAGTACAGTACAGTACAGTACAGTACAGTACAGTACAGTACAGTACAGCACAGCACAGTACAGTACAGTACAGTACAGCACAGTACAGTACAGTACAATACAGTACAGTACATATTGCTAAAGCAGCTGCAATCAAACCTGATTTTGATGGAGCTGCTTGACATTATTTATATAATGCTGCTTTCAGGTTGCTGAAGATGTGTTCAGATAGATACAATACACATTATATACACTATACAGTACAGTACAGTACAGTACAGTACAGTACAGTACAGTACAGTACAGTACAGTACAATACAGTACAGTACAGTACAGTACAGTACAGTACAGTACAATATAGTACAGAACAATACGGTACAGTACAGTACAGTACAGTACAGTCCAGTACATTACAGTACAGTAAAGAACAGTACAGTACAGTACACTACAGTACAATACAGTACAGTACAATACAGTACAGTACAATACAGTACAGTACAATACAGTACAGTACACTACAGTACAAAACAGTACAGTACAAAACAGTACAGTACAGTACAGTACAGTACAGTACAGTACAGTACAGTAAATTGCTTTACAGTACAGTACAGTATAGTACACTACAGTACAATACAGTACAGTACAGTACAGTACAGTACAGTACAGTACAATACAGTACAGTACAGGTTGCTAAAGCAGCTGCAATCAAACCTGATTTTGATGGAGCTGCTTGACATTATTTATATAATGCTGCTTTCAGGTTGCTGAAGCAGCTGGGCTCAAGCATGTTCCTCTGCCTGATTTTGACGGAGCTGCCTGGGCAGGATCTTTGAAGAAAACTGACCGCCAGCAACAACAGGGGTCAAAACAAGGTACAATTTATGGGTGGGTGAAGAGGGGCAACCAGGATGTTTAATTGGAAGGAAGGGGTGCGGTAAATTGTATATTGTAGCAATATTATAGCAATTGTATTGCTGTACTGAATCCTAGAACTTCCATTATGAGTCTTTCTTGGAGAATGTCATAATATTCTAACTTTTTTAAACCTAAAATTTTCCTTTTTAATCTTCAAGGGATTCATTCACACTAGCAGTGGGGGTCCTCCCCCCCCCCTCCTCCCCTAGTTGCTTCTTTGTTAAAGTGTAAAAATTGACATGCCACTCTATCTAGAAAATACTCTTTAACCAGATATATTAAAAACTAACTTAAGAATTAATTCTGTTTTAGAGGATGTTGGTGGCTCCCCCTGGGCTGGCTCCCTGAGACATGTTAAGGAGAGAGCCAAGAAGAGTTCTAAGAAGGAAGATAATGACTTGTATGGAGCTGCTCCATGGATGGGAACTCTTAGGTGCAGGTTTTTCCTCTGCGACAAAATTCGTTTTGCGCAAAATTGCGATATTCCGCTTTTGCGATATTTATATTTGCACAGTTTTGCAAAAAAAAATTTATGAAGAGCTTGATTAAAGGTGTAAACTGTATAAATAGGTCATGACAGATATTGCATTTTTTGGAACATAATATAAACATAATATACATGAAGGGTATGTCCACAATGATCAAAGAATCATTTAATATGCAGATCTACATAATCTGGAGATCAAAGCCTGAACCCAAAATTCATAACTCATTAGTTCAGATGGCACCCAAACATGTTGTTCATAATTCATAAGTTCAGATGGCACCCAAACATGTTGTTCATAATTCATAAGTTCAGATGGCACCCAAACATGTTGTTCATAATTCATAAGTTCAGATGGCACCCAAACATGTTGTTCATAATTCATAAGTTCAGATGGCACCCAAACATGTTGTTCCCAATATCCAACTCATTAAACACATTTTGAAATCACAGACACGTTGTTCAAACTAACTAACAGAACGTTAGAACTATCTAACAATCTGTTTAAATATTAGTATTTTCAAAATGTTTTCAGCAGTTCAATATTCCATATTTATAACAGAATATTTGTGCCGGGTTTCCCGCATTTTCATCTTGACTATATTCTAGGCATGTTGTTCATGATAACAAGGTGACTAAAAACTTTGGTGTAAACCAGTTCCAGAGTAAGCGGTATCCTGATGAGGATGCAACAAACCCTTTTGAAGGCCAAGGAGGTATATTTAACTACCTTAACCCTATTCAAGCTGGGGGGGGGGGTCCCTTAAAGTAAAGGTTCCACCAATACATGTGCAAAGCCCATTGTTTCAACCCCAACTCATTTGATGGTTTTAGGAAGGCTTTTAAGAAATAGAAAAATAAATTCAGAAAAGTTTTTTTAAAAGCTTTTAATTTTGAAAGTAGATTGACTAATATATCTAAAGTAATTCTTTTAATTTTCACACAACATTTTTTTTAAATTGATGAAATCAAATAGGAATTCATGCTCGGCCTGCCTACCCCCTCTCCCCTGCTGCCATCATCAACGGCTGCGCCATGTCCCGCGACGCTATGGCTAGGAAGGAGGAGGAGGAGGAGGTACAGAGGATTCGTGGAAACATCAAATCATCTGAGACGGTGTCTAGTGCGCTTCTGAAAGTTCTGATGCCGTATGTAGTTTATAGATATTAGTTAACTAGGAATCAAAATCAAACATTATCATATTTTCCATGAAGATATCAATCTTCCATGCAGTTTACTTTAGTTTTACATTAGATGTTTAAAAGGGTTGGTTGGACTGTCTCTTTAATAATGTCTAATGTCTATTTTAATGAAATACCACAAATAAGTCATTTTTTTCAAATTAATTAAACACTATTTTCCAACAACTGCAATAAAAGGTTAGTGGCCGAATTTAAAGAATTTGAGCGGCGGTTTAAATTTAAGCCGCGGCTTAAATATGGTTGGTTCCAGTTAAAATTGTATCAAATGTTTTAAGATTTAAGCCGGCGCTTAATTTAAACTGGGTTTTGGTAGATTTAAACCGCAGCTCAAATTCTTTAAATTCTATCTTAGGTTCGACATTTTTTCGTTAATTGTTAGAAACCATGCAGTTGGTTTAGAAAATATTGTCCATGGTTCTACAGTTCTAATTTGATTTAATATTTTTATGATTATATTTACTTTGATTTTGATTCTTAGAATAGGGGCTTTTTTTTTTTTTTCTTAATTAAGTTTTTTTAATAATAGAGAGAAATTTCATTAGATATATAGACATAGCTAAACTTTAGACTTTTAGATGGGTTGTTTTAAGCAGTGTGAACCCTGGATTTATAAATTTTTTTTATTTTAAAGGACTTTTTTATATATCCAGGGCCCCTATATTTTACTTGGGTCATGCTCAATTCACAACAGTATCTTTTTAACCTTTATCTGGACAATCTAATAGTGTGGAAGACATAGTTGTTTTTCTGTTTTTAAAAGTGTTAAACCCAGGTCATCTTCTTCAATTCTCTATGCAGCATAAAATGAAAAATAAGGTTTAGCTAGAAAAATTTATTTCATCCATCCTTGACTGGAAGAAAAGGTTCAAAGGGTATCGTTCTGTATCATACATGTCACTTTAAAAATTATATGCCACTCTAAATAGTCTTACGGTATTCTACGATGAGATTTTATTTCAGGAAACTGCTCAAGATGCATGAAACTAAATACCCTGCAATAGATAGGTGGGTTTTTATATTAAAAAGTTAAATTAGTTTTACAAGTTTTCGTTTACATAATACATAACATATATTTACAATGTTTTCATAAAGTTTTCAGTTTTCAGTTAAAAAAGAATTCTTCTATGATATGATTAAATAATTCAAAATTATAAATTTGAATTTTCCGCCAAAAGATTTTGAATTATAAAAATAAAACGAAAACTTAAAAATCAATATTTATTTGGAATCCATTTTTTTTAAATTGATCGGTTCAGCTGAAAATCTGTTATAATTCGTATTTGGTCGAAAATCAGAAGTTTTTTTCTGATTTAGGGATGAGGCGTCAAAAATCATGGAGGAAATCTTATCTATGCAGGTTGGGCTCAATGTGGACCAACAGGTGAACTAATTTTATTTCATTTTTCATTTTTGACTTTTTATTTTTTTCATCTCATTTTAATTTATCATTTAGATCACACTACCACGGATTTTCAATTGACAAATTTTTAAACCTTCTTTGGGGTCATATGAGGTCCCAAACAAATTAACGTTTATGGTTTACAAACAGACAAGCAAAGTATATATATATAGATTTAAAAAGTGCTAAACCTATATGTAGAGACTATTGAAGTAAAATTTAAAGATGCTCAGAACCAAACTTTTTTTCCCAATATCAAATAAGATAAATATTTTCTCAAAAAGAACTGATTATTCTTCTAATATTCTAATTTTCTACTATTTATATTTGCAACCTGATGTTATAGACCTTATAATAAAAAGTTTCTCAAAATCATATTTTCCCCCTTTTTGTAAAACAAAATGGCGAGTTTTTTTCCTCATTCATTAAATTTAAATTCCGTTTAGATTAAAGATTAAATTCATAAAGATGGAAATATTCTAATTTCATCTTAAATTTAAAAATGTTGTTGTAAAGTCTATTTATTGCCAAGGATATTAAATAGTTTAGCACAAAATTAGATTTTAAGTTTAAACTAAAAATACCAAAAGAAGATATTTTTATGTGCTGCAAAGTTTAATTAAAAAAAGAACTACAGAGTTTTAATAAAACTTGTGAAATAAATAGGAGAAGATAAAACGCTAAGCGAAAGAAAGGAATTTTAGCAAATTTAATTCAAAGAAACTTTAAGTTATAATATGTAAACTACAATGAACTTTTAAGAACTTAGAATAAGAAATTAGTTTTGAAGTATTGAGGGCTTTGGATATTAAAAAAATGATTTTTACAAAAACCGCGCAGAGGGAGATGTTTTTTTTACTTTATCTTCCCAAGGGACAGTTAAAAAAACATGACATCCCGTCATTGGGCAATCATTTGATGGTAATTTTAAATATTGTATTTTAAATCTATTTTTAGGGAGATGAATCAAAATCATTAAATTAGAAAATTATAACAGTAGGTTTTATGTGTATATATTACGCAAATCTGATGTACATAAGTTTTCAGAAACACTTCTTTAAAATTGTTGTACATTATCTCGTGAAACTCTTCAATATTTTAAAACATGTTTTTTTTCTTAAAAATGAAAAATTTGACTAACACTGACAGCAGACAAAACTTTAAAATTAAAAAATCTTATTTACAAATGAAACAAATCAAAACGTGCAAATCTGTTAAAATCTTGAACGATGCAAGAATTTTATTGTCACAAACTCTAATTTTGTATCCTCTATATCTTTGCAACCACAATTCGTAAACCTTAGATATTTCAAACTATGAATTCTGATGGATAAAATAAACTAAGTTTATAATAGCAAAAGTTTACAAAATCATGTTGCAAAGATAAAGGGATTAGAAATTTGACTCAATTTGACACAATGCACAATTTTGTATCTTGAAATAAAGAAGACTTATGAATAGTAAGAATAGAAAGAAGAAAAACCTGTACCATACTACTGACACAATGTCAGTTAAAAAGAAGAAAAACCTGTAGCATAGTACTGACATAATGTCAGTTTAAAAGAAGAAAAACCTGTAGCATAGTCCTGACATAATGTCAGTTTAAAAGAAGAAAAACCTGTAGCATAGTACTGACACAATGTCAGTTTAAAAGAAGAAAAACCTGTAGCATAGTACTGGCACAATGTCAGTTTAAAAGAAGAAAAACCTGTAGCATAGTACTGGCACAATGTCAGTTTAAAAAAAGAAAAACCTGTAGCATAGTACAGACACAATGTCAGTTAAAAAGAAGAAAAACCTGTAGCATAGTACTGGCACAATGTCAGTTTAAAAGAAGAAAAACCTGTAGCATAGTACTGGCACAATGTCAGTTTAAAAGAAGAAAAACCTGTAGCATAGTACTGGCACAATGTCAGTTAAAAGAAGTGTTGACCAATATTACTGTTTGCTAACCATTATTTGCGTGTTTACTTTCAGACAATAACAATATATGTAAACAAAGACAAAACTCATCAAAACATTGTTAAACATTTTCAAAAGAATACATTTTTAATTAATTAATTTAATTAATGCATCTGATTAAGGCTGATGCTAATGAGGAGGCTGACATGATAATTAGAGCGATCATGCAGGTAATTTGTAATTAAATAGGTAATTTGTAATTAAATAGGCAATTTGAAATTAAACAGGTAATTTGTAATTAAATAGGTAATTTGTAATTAAATAGGCAATTTGTGATTAAATAGGTAATTTGTAATTAAATAGGTAATTTGAAATTAAATAGGTAATTTGTAATTAAATAGGTAATTTGTAATTAAATAGGTAATTTGTAATTAAATAGGTAATTTGAAATTAAATAGGTAATATGTAATTAGATTGGTAATTTGTAATTAAATAGGTAATTCGTTGTTAAAAAAATAATTCTTAATTAAATAGGTAATTTGTAATTTGTAATTAAATGGCTTATTCAATGATTTGATAAAGATTAAAAGAACTTCACAGTTGTCGGGAATTAAAGGAATTATGAATATAAAGCAACAGAAACAATTCTGTACAATCGTCGCTTCTCATCCTTTGTGGGAAACCCTGTAATTTTCACTATTTTTTTACTTGAAGGGACTGTTAACGATATTTCAAGGGATTCATCATTTATAGGTCGGGTGTGCGATTCACAACGTAACCTTTCAAACATAATCTGTGACAGATCAATAATGACTGATTGATTTTTTTTTTGATTTATGGTTCAGAAACAATTTTAAAAAGTCAGAATTCATTTTTTTAAGATAGATGGGTCTCAGATAGAGATTTGAAAACTGAATAGTACTGTTGTGAATTGGAAAGCACCTTTACAAATAGAGGGTTACTTGAAATTGGATCTACAGTTTATAAAACTCTTTTATTAAAACTTCTATTTATCAGGATGAGGTTGGAAAGCATGTTTATTCTAAAATGGCAGACGACCTTGAAGCCGCAGCACAAAGGAGGAGAAAAGAGCTGAAAAAGAAAAAAGTTAAGAAAACCAAACCTGCCCCCTCCACTGTTCAATCTGCAGCCTAAATACTGCCCCCTAAGAAAAAAGTTATGCAGCCTGAATACTACCCCTCCACTGTTCAATCTGCAGCCTGAATACTGCACCCTCCACTGTTCAATCTGCAGCCTGAATACTGCCCCCTCCACTGTTCAATCTGCAGCCTGAATACTGCCCCCTCCACTGTTCAATTTGCAGCCTGAATACTACCCCTCCACTGTTCAATCTGCAGCCTAAATACTGCCCCCTCCACTGTTTAATCTGCAGTCTGAATACTGCCCCCTCTACTGTTCAATCTGCAGCCATAATACTGCCCCCTCCACTGTTCAATCTGCAGCCTGAATACTGCCCCTCCACTGTTCAATCTGCAGCCTGAGACCGGTTTCACAAACTTTTTAAAGTGATTTTCTAACCATGAAGCCCCCACCATCATCAGAATTTTAAATACTTAGTTTCAGAGAAAAAAATCCCTGACAGTGAGACCATTCTCTATGTTTGTATTGATTTCACAATTTTCCAATGATTTACTTTATTTGTACATTTAAAATTTTTACATATATCTATAAGTAATGTATATTTTTTCATATTCCAAATTACTCTGAATATTATCATAAAACAATGTGTTAACAAAAAACGAAATAAAAGATTCACAAAATTAGGTAAAACAAATGACAATTTGATTTTAAACAAATTAAGTAAAATTTGAATGTTTTACCTGACCCTTAACTTACAACTAAATTTCTTAAACATGATTGAAATTATACAGTTAGGGTTTCTTCGACGATTTATTTCCTTCAAAACATTTTAAATTTATAGTATTGTTTCTTTTTTGAATAATGGTTCTACTAAAGTCTAAAATATACAATAAAGAAGACAATATTTATTATATAAAACAGTTTATGTTGCGTGATTTCATGAAAATAAATGATATTTTATAAATAATTTTGTTTGATACATTTTATAAAATTAAATTTTTTTAAAAGAATTTTTTCAGAACTTCTCTAATACATCAGTTTTCAGAACTTCTCTAATACATCAGTTTTTAGAACTTCTCTAATACGCCAGTTTTCAGAACTTCTCTAATACACCAGTTTTCAGAACTTCTCTTATACAACAGTTTTCAGAACTTCTCTAATACACCAGTTTTCAGAACTTCTCTAATACACCAGTTTTCAGAACTTCTCTAATACACCAGTTTTCAGAACTTCTCTAATTCACCAGTTTTCAATTTCTTTTGAATCATAGATTTAAGATTGACTTGTCAAATGCATTTGACAAGTCCAAATACAGATTTGCAGAGAAAATATATTTTTAGGTCAAAGGAATTAAGTTTTTACCACAAACTCTGATTTTCTGAACCATTTATTTTTGCAACCCAATGTCGTAGACCATATATATATAAATAAGATCAAATAATCAAAAATTTAGAATATCAAAGCTTTACACCATGTAGGAATGCATATTTTTCTTTATTTCAACCCTAGTCTCTACGTCATAGATCCGCAAACCAATCAAGTATAGGAAAATCAGTTATTTACGTTTGAAATTCTAAACACTAAAAAAAAGCAATAAAATGAATAAATCTTTGTTTGAATTTTATTTTTTATCTTTCAATGATAGCATAGATGAATAATATTAAATTAAATAAACACAGTTAATAACTAACTGATTAGGCTTTCAAAAATTATCTAGCTGGTCGGTCTTTGTCCCAGCAGGCTAACACTTTCAATCCCAACTAGACCAATTAAACTTCAATTTTTTGCGTTTCAAATATTATGTCAAATTGTTCAAAATTAGGATCGATTGAAAATGATAGCTTGTTTGTTTAATTAAAATGAGTGAACACTTAAATATCTTCTCGTTCCTTTATCTTTGAGTCAAGTGTTCAGAGATGGAATTTAAAGAATTTGGGCAGCAGTTTAATTCTGCCAAATCCCGGTTTAAATTAAGCGCCGGTTTAAATCTTGTAACAATTTTAAGTTGAACCAACCATATTTAAGCCACGTCTTAAATTTAAACCGCCGCTCAAATTCTTTAAATTCGGCCTCAGTTCCTATAGATTTCTTGAATTTCGTCAACCTATTCATTTAAATGCCATCAAGGATTAACAATCTTAATATCGACTATTTTCTTTATTTATAGAGATCGAATTGCAGATATCGGCAAGAGAAAGAGGAAGAAATTAGCCAAGATTGCTATTTTTTACATTTAACAGATAAATCATAAATGGTATTCCTTATCGAATCTTTTACTTAAACAAAATTCAATTGTTCTGGATCAAAGAAAATATTTTCTGAATAGTGACCGTTTAAGTAATTTTAATTTGACATGTTTATCTATATGAAAATCTATCAAACTAAAAATTCAAGGCGTTTTGCGCCCTTCTTTCTAGCCATCTTCTTTTTAAGTTGTGAACATGTTCTTTTTGTTTACATTTCAAAAAAATATTGCGGATTTTCAAGAAAAAATTTGCGGATTTTCAAGAATTTAAATTTTTTTTACAAAATTAAAAACCTTTAAAACACATTTTTAAATTTTTTTTTATCATTCATTAATCTTCCCTTTGATCATGTGATGTCTCACAAAAAATATGGGCCCAATCGGTTTAGCCGTTTTGACGTTTATTGGATACAAACAAACAGACAGACAGATAGACAGACAAGACAAATTTATGTATAGACTAGCCTTAGAGGGCGCTTCGTGCCAATCTTCTAAATTAATTGTGAACATGTTCTCTTTCTGTACATCGTAAAACAAAACAAAAATAATTCGCGGATTTTCACAAAAAAATTTGTGGATTTTCAAAATTTTCAAAAATTTAATGACGATCGAATTTTGATGGAGACAAATATTTGAAATTTTGATCACTCATAAACCTTCCCTGGAGTCCCTAGATGTCCCACAAAAAATGTGGGCCCGATCGGTTCAGCCGTTTTGACGTTTATTCGATACAAACAAACAGACAGACAAACAAACAAACAGACAGACAAGCCAAATTTATATAGAGATTAAAGTTTTTTAAGAAAATCACACTCTCAAATACATAAAACTATAGATACAAAACGTGTAGCTATCACTTTAAACTATGTATAGTCCCTTTTAAAATCGTGGATAATATATATCCCTTGGATCGGAAAGTTGTCTATAAAACTATCTAGAGAGCACATGGTGGGAACTAGAGAAGTGGAAACCATTTTAGAATTCAATATTATTTGTAAGAAAGAGTTGGGGAGGGGAACCTAAGTAGGGAAATATAATCAATGTCAACAGTCAAGGACGAAAGAAAGGACTCGGGAGCGGGGAGGGCTGAGGTTTTTTAAGTTTTTGGTTATATCTTGATACCATCCTTTATTTTTTTATAATGTTTTTCAAAAATTCTGCTTGTCTTTATTAAAAAATGTGGGTCTTCAATAATACATAAAAGGGTTGTTTTCAAAAAAATATTACATTCAAGAAGTCAACACATTTATTACATAGTTTTAAAATTCTCACTGTAAATGAACTGTTTCCAACATATAAAAGACAAAATTTGTGACTTTTACAATTTTTTTATGTCACATTTCCCAATCTTGAGATATTGTTGTGAGACTCCTGTCAGACAAAGCTCAGGCTTCTACCATTATTATTATTATTGTTGATTTGTATTTTCTTACTACACAGGACTGCAGGAATACTTTCTTTCAGATCTCACATTTTCTTTGAAAAATAAATAACATATTAAATAATAATGAATTAACCATTAATAAAATGAATAATAAATAATGAATAACTGATTAAATAATAATGAATGAACTATTTATAAAATGAATAGCGAATAACTGATTAACAAGTAATGAATTAACCATGTATGTAATAATTAATGAATAATTAATAAACACAAATTTGAATTAACCATTTATAAAATGAATAGTGAATACCTCATTAACAAGTATTTATTTACGTAATTTGAAATGATTCTCCATTTAAAAAGAGTGGGATGTCCTATTTACAAGTTGACAACAGTACCCTGAAATATTTTGCCTGAGCGGGCGATTTAAAAAATTCAAGAAAATATGACTTAGGTCTAAGCTGTCTAAGCTTGAGCTTTTGGATTCAAGCTGCATCTTATTTTCCACCGAGGTAATTCAAAAAACTGGTTTAATATTTTATTTGGCGGATTTTCATGGCAGGAATTGGCGCATTCCCAGTTTTTATGAGAACAACCCGCAACATTGAGCCTTATTCTCCACTAAAACCAACCAAGGTCGATTTTATTTTCATTGGGCTTAACTCCATAGTGCGAGTCTAAGATCTCTCAGCTGTCAATCATGACACAAGTTGTCGTCTGAGTTAAGTCTAATATTGAATCTTAAAGCTGGGTTTAAGAAAATACGACCCAAGCCGAAGCTTTTAAATCGCGGGCTCTGATAACAAATGCTGAAGTTTATCATTTTCTATTTAAAATTTGTATAAAAACAAAGCTATTGTCCACATTTTTAGTCAGTTAAAAGTTTAGAGGGTACCATAGTCAATCGGGTATGCAATCATATTCATTTATAAATAGTTAATTTTGAAATCCTTTTAATTTTTAGAAATATTTCAAATCAACTCTGAGAACTCTGAGAAAGAAAATGGTTTAAATTTGAGCAGAAACAAGATTTCAATTGAAGTTCATAAAATACTTTAATCTCCTAATATTTTACTTACAAAGGAATCGAATTTTAGATATAAAATACCTTTAATTCCTTGCTAAACTAGAAAGGGAAAATATAAAATGTGAAGATGACTAAAAAAATATTTAATATTTTTGTTTGAAATAATTTGAGCAGACAAAATTACAAACATTTTGTCAACACCTTTTCAGGGTTAAAGCTGTTATTTATTATGAATACTATAAAAAAGTTCTTCATCTATAGAAATGTTAGTAATTTTGAAATGTATTTGGTAAAAAAAAATATTTTTTAAACAGGAATATATTTAGAATTAAAATTTGTTCTCAATTCTCAGTTCTCCGACTGTAAATCATCTGAGGAATTAGTTCTTAATCTCAGTAAGTCTAGGGGGGAATCAGAACCAGGAAAAAGAAAGCTTTTCTCTTTACAGAATACTTAACCTTTCAGAGGTGAAAGCTGTTGGTTGGGATAGCGC